AGAAATCCGAAAATTTTACTTCCACCTGAATTTTGTGCTGATGGTGTTGTTCAGAAGAGCAATGAAGGCTCCACTAGCAAACTATCCAGCTCAGAGAACAAAACTCCAACAAAATCATCTACCCGAGCTACAAATCTCCATCTCATAACTATATATATATATATATATATATATATATGGTGGGGATAACCAACTTATTATTTAATTCATAGTCATATAGTGGCCTAGTAAAATGTGGAAATAATGCATCATTTGCTACATATTTTTGGATTGTCTCTTACAAGCTCCATTGTTTCTTCATTCATGTTTTTATCCTGATTGCTTTCAGTTTCTTTCTCTCTTCTCTTCATTTGGATCTTCTCAACCTTCTGCTCGCAAACATTCCACTTTTGACTGGTGCTACATAATACAAATGTCCGCAAACATAAGTAGTATAAACCACATGTATATACAATTGTACAGTTTGATAATAAATTCATTGAAAAGAGATCCTTACATTGAACTTCACTTTTCTAAAGTTTTAATGGGAATTATTTTTCAATTTTCTGTTGTCAAATAATGTTATTTCTTTTCTTTTTATAATATAAATTCTCCTGATGTTTATACTTTTATTGTTGAACATGGATTCATAGTTTCTACAACAAATAAAGTATTTAAAAAATATATTGATTATCTTGTCTAAAACTTTTCCATTATCAGTAATACTTTGTTGCCTTCTTTTTTCTGAATTTGGTTTCATCTTTGTGTCTACCCAATAAATGATTTTTTTTGTATCAGAAAATAGGTAACAGGAAATGTATTCACTCAAACAATAAAAGTAGACGGAAATTACTTTTACATTTATTCATTAAATTGTTTTATATATTTTTCTGTTTCAAATGAAATAGATACATTTTTAGTGTTTTTTTTTACGGTGATGATATCTAGTGAATATGCTCCACTGGTTTATTATTTATTAACTTGAATATGTGTACGTACTTTACATTTTACAAGCCTTGTCTTTTATCTCATTTTTTCTTTCCCTCTTGCAATTGGTAGGTTGTGCCTCTGTTCTTTATTCAGATAATTCATTAACATTTTTTCTTACGTTCTGCTGTACTTGGTCTGTCCTATTATTAGTTATTTCCTACTTCTTATCAGTGACCTAAACGTCATGATATTTGTTACATCGTCATTTCGCTCCTCTGAATGTTCCCTGATTTTGTTCCTCTTATTTGATTTATGTGTTCATTAGCTATTGTTGGAAATTCTAGATTACCTTGCTTCTATGTTGTGCTCAACGGGTTTCCTAATAAGAGGCGCCTTTACTGAAGGTTGTTAATTAATTACGCTGGGTATATTTATTTCTATGATACTACGTTTTTCCAACATTCGAAATACGATTAACGACACATTTGAAATATCCTGATTTCAGAACTATTGTTAATAAATATCAACGTGGTTTATCTGCGTTTTAAATATCATCGTATCTCTTTCATGTTGGATATCGTTGTAGATATCTATCAATATCTGTCGAACTGTTTTCTTTTGTTTGTTACTGTACACGGTTCAAATTTACAAAATTTAATAGACATATCACTAGTTCTGAATGTTGATGATAAAAGTGAATTTGATTTACAGTGATGAACATTTAAAATATTCTATTATTCAATTTTAAAAACATGTTTGTTTGTAAATAAATAAAAAAAAACCATGATTGTTTTGGGCTAAAACTGTTATATTTGCTTTGGCTTAATGCATGAAGGTAACCACTATTTTTCATTGTTTATTAAAAAGACGATATCCAACATTTTAGAGTAGTTTCCCGTTCATCCTGTTTAGTTAATGCTGCATATTAATCTTTACTTTCCATCGGAGATTTCATTTTTAATCACCTAAATCTATGTATATTAAATCTTCTGTGAATAGGTCACTGTAGTGCATCCCGCATTGCCAGGTTGAAAAAGATTAATAAAGTGAGATTTGTAACTTGAAATGAAATTTTCAGAGAGAAGTATGCTCCTGCATGCAGAATTCGCCCACTAAATGAACGAAAAAATGCTTGAAAATGTTTGACATCGCTTGCTTATTGAACATTGAGAGGCTGATGAGCTATCAATTCTTGAACGCGTATCGTATTCCAATTTAGTTACGGTGATTATTTTGTAAAGTTATTGGGGTTAAAATAAAAAATTTAAGATAACATTTTTGTGCTTATTAACCCTTCGTCTAAAATCATCAGTGGCATGAGTAAAGCACCTTTATGACGTCTACAAATCAAAGATTATTCTATTTTTATGTTTGCTTCAGTTATTCGGTACATCATTGTCGGGGATTGAGTGAGAGGGAGTTTTATATCGACATATATATATATATATATCCTATGGTTCAGTATTTAGTACAGACCTTTTCTTAAAAGTATATCGAAAGGTTTTCTGGAGGTTTTTTTTAGAAAGTCACAGGTAAACGTATATTGCGAACTTTTCGCCTTGCATTTTTTAAAGCCTGTAAAATTCATTTCACCATGTAGGCAATAACTATAATTAATTTATCTAATATATGTTAACTATCCTGTCCAGTATTATTTTGACAACTAGTGTATTTAGATCAATATGGCTTTGCTTCTGACGTTTACAAATGTCAACATGAGATTGTAAATTAGTGCGAGTAGTTAGCCCGCAAACGCCGTGATACATCCGAGAGTGGGGAGGACCCGCCCTCTCTCTCTAAATGTTCTCACACAGTCATGCGTATACAGCCTCTGCCAGGGAAGTCCTATTCACTGCCTTCTCGTGGCAGGGTGTTGTTTACGAAATTGAGAAAACGAAAAGCAAATGTCCGGCACTGTAACCGGGTTGATGGACACAGTGAGTTCATCTAGGGGAGTTGAAAAGCTCTGATTCTAAATCAATGGAGCACATGAGCTCCATTATCATTAGGGAACAAATGGAGTATCAACCAATCGTTGGTCACCGGCTACCATGAGACTGCATCTCCTCACGATGCTCCACTGTCTTGTGGGTTAGACCTTTAGGTCAAAATCTCCGAGCGTGGCACCCTAAGAAAACCACCTGATTTGGTCTGAGTACCCGGGCAGTATCATATCCCTCACATAATTAAATGAAGTGACAATATATATATATATATATATATATATATATATATATATATATATATATAGTGCCCCTTTATACCAAATAAGTAAAGTTGGAATTAGTGGCTAATGCTGAAATTTAGGGTTAGAATTAGGTTTTTTATCACGAATTTACATCAGCTACAATATTGAAATGCTATTTAGGCAAATAAATGAATAAATTTCATGCGAAAATCCAAGTATCTCTGTCTTTGATCTGATTACTTACTTACTTTCGCCTGTTACTCCCAATGGAGCATAGGCCACCGACCAGCATTCTCCAACCCACTTTGTCCTGGGCCTTACTTTATAGTTCCATCCAGTTCTTGTTCATTCTTCTCATGTCTGTCTCTATTTCTCGGCGTAATTTGTTCTTTGGTCTTCCTCTTCTCCTTTGATCTTCAGAATTCCATGTCAGGGCTTGTCTTGTGACATAGTTGGGTGATTTCCTCAATAAGTGTCCCATCTACTCCCAGCGCTTCTTCCTCCGCCTTGAATCTGGTTTGTTGTCTCCCACAGTAACTTGTTGCTGATAGTGTCTGGCCATCGGATCCGAAGTATCTTGCGTAGACAACTGTTAATAAACACTTGTATCTTCTGGATAATGGCTTTCGTAGTTCTCCACGTCTCCGCCCTATACAATAGAACTGTCTTGACATTTGTATTGAAAATTCTAACTTTGGTGTTGGTTGACAATTGTTTTGAGCTCCAGATGTTTTTCAGTTGTAAGTATGCTGCTCTTGCTTTGCCGATCCTCGCCCTCACATCTGCATCTGATCCACCGTGTTCATCAATGATGCTGCCCAGATATGTAAAGGTTCCCACATCCTCCAAAGCTTCTCCGTCAAGTGTAATTGGATTGGTGCATATTGTGTTGTATCGGAGAGTCTTGCTTTTCCCTTTGTTTATATTGAGATCTACTGCTGCTGAGGCTGCTGCTACACTGGTCGTCATCTCCTGCATTTGTTGTTGCGTTTGTGATAGAAGAGCCAGATCATCCGCGAAGTCTAAATCGTCAAGCTGCATCCTGCCTGTCCACTGTATCCCGTGCTTTCCTCCAGTCGTTGACGTCTTCATGATCCAGTCGATCACCAGGAGAAAGAGAAAGGGTGAGAGTAAGCAACCGTGCCTAACACCAGTCTTTACTTCAAACGAGTCGGTGAGTTGTCCTCTGTGGACGATTTGGCAGTTTAGTCCATCATATGAGTTCCGTATGATATTGACTATTTTCTCAGGCACGCCGTAGTGTCGAAGAAGCCTCCATAGTGTCGTCCTGTCCACGCTATCAAATGCCTTCTCGTAGTCGATGAAGTTGATGTAGAGTGATGAATTCCATTCGATCGATTGTTCCACAATGATACGTAGAGTTGCGATTTGATCTGTGCACGATCTATCCTTACGAAATACAGCTTGTTGATCTCGAAGTTGGAAAGGACATTCCATGTACCTATAAAAATTTTCGCTCTGGTTGTAAGAAGGTGCATCGGCCTCATGACTTCCAATGGAACTCGGCTTTCATCATGAGACGTCATAATTAATTCTTCTACTCCCAGTGCAGAGTTTAAATGGTTTGAATGATTTTTTCTGATTAGCGTTTTTTTAGCGAGTTGATTTTCTACGGGATGGGGTCGCTAACCCCATGCCCAACCCTCCTCCTTTACCCGGGCTTGGGACCGGCAGCAACCCCCAGAGTAGCTACAGGCGGAGTTTTGATCTGATTGGTTCGTCTATAAAGTATAATCGAGCCTTTTTCCTTGTGAGAAGAAATGTGTTTATTCACTATTTCCCTAAACTGTTGTTAAAAAACTGTTAATTTTAAGCTTTAATTTATCTCTTTTATTGTGTTTTCATACTAATTCCTTTTCGCTTTTTTTGTTGTTTTTGTAAGGGTCGAAGGGGTTTCGGTAATATTTATGTATGGGCATCAGGTAATGGTGGTTCACTAGATGATTCATGCGCCTGTGACGGTTATTCAAGTAGTCCATTCACTTTATCTGTCAGCGGTGTTAGTGAGTCAAATACACGTCCATGGTATTTAGAAAAATGTTCATCAACTTTAGCTAGTACTTATAGTAGTGGAAGTCCAATGGAAAGAATGATTGTAAGTTGTTGTTGTTTTTTTTCCTTAAATATATGCATAGATTGTTTTGATGGACCACTGTTTATTGGATTGATTAAAGTTAGACATTAAAACCTTTTGATACCGGCTCAATGGTCTAGAGGTTAAGCGTTTGTGCACGAGATCGAAGGTCCTGGGTTCAACTTTTGGTACGGAGTCGTGAATGCGCACTGCTGAGGTGTCCCATACTAGGACAAAATGGCCATCTGGTGCCTCCAGGTTTTCAATGATTTTCTAACTTCTATTTGTTCGTTTTCAAACATCTAAAAGAATTCTTGAGACTTTATCTACTGTATTCCATAATCAATTTGTAACGAAATGTAGAACACGAGTTCGGCTATCTCTCTTTTAACTACTGAACATATTCATTGAATAGAAGTATTTATATCGATTGTTATGGATTTGTATTATACTTTAACAATGCGTCTTTGATTAGATTACAAATAAAGTTTAAAAAAACTCAGCCATGTCCATCCATGATCCTTTAGTGGCCCAGTATCTGACTCCAGTTAGCTTGGACGAATGATTACTGTCGAAATATACATGTCGTCAATCCTCGTATATTATCATCGAATTAACTCGCGTTGGTTAATAACGGAATTAAATCAAATACGAGAATGAGTTTTGAATACGTATATTTCATACAATTGTTGGTCGGGTAGCGAAGAAAAACAAAATGACGCCCGGTGGAGAAGGCTAGTGTGCCACTCGACTGAGCCATGCGTGAATCAATATTTATAGTCGAACAAAAATAAGTTACAGATATGTGATAAGACAAGAAATGAACATACTTATGCTAACATAAAAGCAGTCAAGGTTGACAAGCGAATAATTAACAAGGTCAAAATGTGACTCAAGAAGAATGAATAAATTGGCCTGTAAGGAAGCTATAATAAAGTATATGGGCTCGCCTAACACTACAATCCCATTGACAGTCGAATCCAGGTCCTTCAATCTCACGGCGATTGCCTAGCATTTAGACCATTAAGCCATCATCTTTTGGCTTACATGTCTTACATCAATTACTCCACTATATTGCGCCACCATCTTCGGTTGTCTGCAATGGATATTTGTCTCACACCCAACACACTTGAATTCCCTTGCAACGGCTTTTAACTAGAACTCCTTAAATAACCTTTCCACTAGCCCGCTGAACTAATAATAATTATATGTTCAGTAGTGACTATCTTTTAGAGGTAATTATAGGAGTTCTAATGGAGATTCGTGACCTACAGAGTTCAACTAAGTCGAGTGTGAGACATTTGTCTATCGTACTTAATGGATGACAGTTACATATTATCGTGAATTGGTCTAAGTTGAACAAGTCCAACACTGGATGCTAGTCAAGTATTCAAATAGTTATGGGTCTTCTGATGCGTTCATGGATGTATACTACTAAAGAATCTCATGCGAGGATGACACAACTGTTCAGTGTTTTATCATTTTTGAATGGTTATTTAACCAAGTTCAGCTCTTGATGTGAACTGTATAAATTCAACAATCTCGCAAACATTCTGTAGGAAAAGTCAGTCAGTCAGCTACAACGTAAGACCAGGCACATTTATGCATCGGTCCAAGTTGCCATACCTCGTTAGCGCAACAAGATGAACACCGAATCCATAGAAGTATTTAATTTAGTGGTGGTAGTATATAAAGGTTGTATATAAGGATATAGTACAGAAAGGAAGAGAGATATGAAGCAATTTTAATCTCAAGGTTTAAGGGAAGATAAAGAGTGTATACACCTACGCCATTGTGATCGATTCTGAGCCATGTCAGCCAGAGTCTCCAACCATTGGTTACGATAGTCACGCGGACCCCAACCAGGTAGTCTGCATCTGCCAACATGGCTCAGACTAGAAGTTAGTGACTTCAAGCACTGATGCCACGTTTTGGTTTGGCCGCCCCTAACCTTCTTCCAACCATCCCATGCCTCTAACAGCACTCAAGACCACTTTGTAGGAAAAAATCAAATATATATATTTTTATATCGATGTTAATCGACCATGTTTCACATCAACATTATAAAAAAGGATGAATAAAATGGAGGATTAAAAAACAAATGAAAATCATCATAATTTTATTTTTAAAAGAGAAAATTAAAAAACAACAAAAAGAGATAGTGGATTATTATTGTTACCTCTCAAATGACGTGATAATTATAATTAATTGATGAATACTATCTTCAAATGAAATAAACGGATACTAATTATCAAGTGGTTAATTTACGTTGTTAATAAAGGACTTTTCCCATGTTTCTTGTGATATATTTTATCTCACTCAATATATATGGTTATATGATATGAATACTCTGTTAAGAATCGTTGAGAAGTAAGCAGATATAGAATTTGTATATCTACTTATACTTCAGTGAATTAGTTTGAATCTTTTTAAATGAACATTCATTAGATATATTAGCTGTGAATATACTTATGAAAAGGTTATTGAAAGCAGTAATTTGACTTTCTGGTGTTCTGATTACATGTTCAAGGCTTTGAGGATTTCTGTATCTTATGGATTAGCCTTATTGTTGATCACGTAGATAGGAACGAATACTATTGTAAAGATAGACCATCCGTTTCGCCCAGAATGTGAATCGTTTTCTTACATATTTAGATTTATGTGTAGATTTGTATATATAAATTATTCACATTTAATAGGCTTTCTTAATACTGATGGAAAAATAACTTGAATATTTTGCCTAACTTTCCGTAGAAAGTATTAATTTAACTGATTTATTTTAATACATTGAAAATTGGTTATCTGAAGTTAATTATGTTATTTTTTCGCTCCAACTTCGAAATTTGAAGAATTCTCAAGCTAACGAACGTTGTTTACTAATTATCTTGTCAACAAATACAGAAAAGCAAAACAATTGTCAGACTGGTTATCATGAAAAGCTGACGAATATTAACGTCGCCTTTTTTGTGGCCAGTTAAGTTCTGACCCTATTTGATTACAATTGGTAATAACCAGGTTCTGTACATAATTAGATTATAAATTCAAATGCGTAAAATTTAAAAATGCATACCGCGGCACACTTTTGCTTCATTCACCGACTCACATACATGGATGGAACTTAAAGATTACTCTGCTGTCAATTTTGTAATATCATTATTGAATCTGACCTAAATTACATCAAGACAGTGGGTGAATTGTTCCTTAGTTTGTAATTTCACTAACTGGCCCATCTGTCGTATTTAGGTCAGAGATATATATACACACACACACTTCAATGTACATGGAGTTGTTACTTTTATAGTAAACAAAACTATTGATAACTTTATTGCCTTAAAATGTTTTCTGCTGCCATGGCAGTTGTGTGTTTTATGTTCAGTTTCTATATGCTTGAAAAATATTTGTACATGCATCTACATGCACACACCTACTTTTATGCGGTAATTTTCTTTTGTACTGTTTGTATGTCTGTACCAGTATGTATTAATATCAGATGTATAGTTTTGTCTGAGAATTCCATAAGTTTGTTGTATTAAACAACAAACAAACAAACTGAAGTAATAAGCCACTGGTGCTGATCACTGATATTTCTCTCAATTATTATTACCTGAAATTTTGATTCACATCCATAATAATTGACAAAAACATTGTCAACTCCATTTTGTTCACGCTAAAATGAACCAGACAAATTGTAATATCGAAGTTTAAAGGTGATAAATTAAGGTTAACATTTCAGTTATTTTCTTGATGCCAAAATAGTTTCATTGGTATGTAAAATAACCACATATAATGTAGATTAGATTTCTTCACTTGTACATTTATAACACAAGGTCAGGTGACTAGAATCCTGTCGTTTGACTGACATGTTTATGTAAACCTATTGAAGGGAAAACTCGACATCATGTTCATGTTCTTGTAATTCCTATGTGAATAATCGTGTAGAAATATTAGGATGAAAAACCTAAAACACTAATTATTTCATCGTAGAACTCACTACTTTTTAACATAAAATTCACCGATAAATATTCTGTTTAAAGTGATTAGTTTGTTTCTGACTCGTGTCATCTGGATGTTTTCTGTGATTTCTTGTTATCCTTCATATGGAATATCCCAAATGATGTATTCTACACAAATTCCATCCACATTACTCATGAAAACTACTAACAACAGTCCCATAATAAAATAAACATGCGTTTGAATATTCAAATATTAGATTACATTACACTTGATAACGAAGTGCATGTCTTTATATATGTGAACAAAACATGAATATGTCAAGCATCTGTTCACTTTTGTGGAAGGTAAGAATCAAAACATCATTAAACTCATATTTAAATAATGTATTGACTAAGTTGATCAGAACGATCAGTGTAATGCTTGTCGATAATTAGGAAAAATGGATATGAATCACGTCAGTCTAAATAATGAATCAAAACTATTAGTGTAAATTCATAATGAGAATAAACTGTTTTTAAACACTTTGGGGGACGGAGAAGTTTGAATTTTCGTCCAAGTAGAGCTTCTATTTTTATTAGTATTCTCCTCTGAGCACTTTTGTACAAGAATACAAAGATGAATTTTTTGTTATCAACCCTATAGTTTGTCTCAACTAAATGTTTGTCAATGAAGGTGTTTATTTGTTTCATTCAGTTAGTTTTTTTGTCTTTAAATTTTCTTTTTTTTAAACATATTTACCTCTTTAGTCCACTACTGATTTGGGTCATGACTGTACACGTATGCATTCCGGTACATCAGCATGTGCACCGATGGCAGCTGGAATTATTGCGTTATTATTAGAAGCTAAGTGAGTGTAATTTATTTAACAAATCATGATTTTTAGTACCATTATTATTGGGTTACATTGTATACGGTGACGTAACAAAAAAGTGAAGGAACTGGATTTAAATATGTTTAGCAGTAAATTTCAACTCATCACTAGTCTGAAGATATTCTACCCATCGTGAAACTCGAACTTTATGCGTTCTGCTCTTCTGTGGTTTTGTATGTGTACTCGAGAAGAGCCTCGAGTGCGGATAAAACAGCTCTTTGGTAATCATTAGTCATTCATATGACGATATAGCTCGAGCAGATGACATGCTATTGCAAACCCAAATGGTTAATGAAAGATCCAAATATAAACGTTCTGTTATAAGTTAGTGAACTATTCACCTAGTTTAGATTACTACTTACTTACGCCCGTTACCCCTCGTAGAGGAGCATAGGCCGCCCACCAGCATTCTCCTGTATGTTTCTGTTAAAATTTGTCTTAAATATATACTAGTGATTACAATCCACTAAGTTATTCAACATATATAAATGTATGCATTTTTCTCTGTTTAGTAAAACTTAGACGGCACAACATCACTTTGTTGATTAAATCATTGAGGATAAGACTCAGTGGTGTGTGAAGAAAATACACTCGTTCTTGTTGAAGTCCGTTTGATATTTATTTGCTTTTTGTTTAAGAATATTAATTGAAATCACTTGAAATCTGTTTCTGTTGCTCTAGTTTATATCATTTTTTTTAAAATATTCCTTTAAATTTCAAGTGTTCAAGTGTTCTAATACATTTTACTTTCCGGTTTTATTCATTCCTTTTTTAAAACTATTGTTGGTATTATTCCAACTGTCATATTCTTTTTATCTTATTTGTTTTTAGTTTCTTTTTCCAGCTGTGCAATACTTATTTACTTATTTGTTCACTATTATTTCTAGATTTGTTTTATTTTTTGACAAAACAAACAAACAAATTCAATTTATAGATCAGAAAATTATTTCAAGAAAAGAAAGACTCACCAACCTACTTTTAATACTTATGCCGTCAATATTGATTTATAAGTAAATTTATCTTATATATAAGAAAAAATAAGTTGATTTGATTCTCTTAGATTTTGTTACATTGAAATGAACTTCCAGCACTAATTGTGCAATATTGCTATAAGTATCTTTTGTAATTATTCAAAGTATATATTTTATGTTCAGTTTTAGCAGTTAGTACATACCGATTGCATGGAATCATTATAGTTCACCGTTGTTCCAGCTAATACAAGTATTTCTCTATCCATTGTAATATAAGGTGCTTAAATTCCAATATATTTCCCTGTCGTTTCTTTTCAAGGGATAGTGTTTGGTCGTATAGTATCCGGTTCTGATTCTTATATGTGATCCTTTTAAACGGAAGCTCAAATGGTTACTTGGATGAAATCAAGAGTTAGACGGTAGCTTTTCGTTAGCTTACCGGATCGTTAATATATATATATATATATATATATATATATATCCACTGATAGTCCATGTCCCTTCTTTTAGAAATCCTGGCCATTTATCGTGTACACTTATCGTTTGGCCGATTTCCGATTGGCCCAATGTTCTGGGTAGATAATAAAGGAACTTCATTTTTTCTGTTTGAATTTTTCAGTACTTCGTATAGTAATAAGTTGTGAGCTTCCTGTGGTAATATGTCAGTACATAGCGTTAATATTCATAATTATTCACTTTAAACAGATCTAAAGCAAATAGGTTATGCGTCTGTGACGTTCTAGAGCATCGGCCTCTCAATATTCCGTTCGTTTAGTGAATGGATTATGTATGCATGAATATACTTTTCACTAAGGATTTCATTTGAAGTTATAGTTTTTACTTTGTTGACCTTTTTCCATCTGGCAAATCGTGATGGGCTTCAATCCCCCCTCGTATGACACAATTTGATATGTGTACTACACCCAGCGGAAAAGTCTCAAATAGTACAAAATGCCCATCCTGTATTCCACTACTAATCACCACTCATCTCTGTTTAAAATGCTCGTAACCTACTGGCATTATCGAGGCAATCCGCACGGGATGCATATACTCTAATGAGAATGATCAACTTCAGTCCCTAAACATCAATCGGAAGATCCAAAACACAATTATATATGAATTAAAATTGAAACTGCTAAGACTTCATAAATCTTTTAGATATTAACTAAATTTTTACTTTAAATATATCTCATTACTGAAACAAATACATACATTGTAGACTGATATATATTTGCTTACTTATTTGTACTTCCCCTTCATCTTGAATAATAATATTTAATTATTTTCAAATAAGGTAGAATGATTTAATGATAAAACTGTCGTAAGAACGTTTTCTTCTCCATTTTCCTTGTTTTCTTTTCTAAAAGGGCTGTGTTTCTGTCTTTTTGATATTATTATTATTATTATTATTATTATTATTATTATTATTATTATTGGCACTTAAATCGCACATTCAAAATTTATGCATCGAGAAGTAAAATTGAAATAAATAGTCTATTAGATGAATAATCAAATGGCGTCTTGTCGTTTTGATGTTTGTGTCTGAGAAAATTTAGTTGTTTTTTTATTTATTTTCATTTGTCTTCGTAGAATGATTTGATGTGTTTTGTTATGCTAGACTATATCAAGGATACATTGGTTGTTTTTAACATTGGATATATATATATATATATATATATTGTGTAGAAACCGAGAATTCGTTAAATACCTGAAAGCTTGAATTCGTAATTCCTACAATATCTGTCAATTAGTTAGTACAGTATATCAAAGGCTTTTTCAAATTATTTATTCATCTTTAATTGTAACATTTTAAACGAAGTGGATTGAGAGTCATTGAATATGTGTTGTTCAGATGCAAATTTCACAAACCTTCCAAATAGATTATTTTCAAATTATACCCTATTTTGTTGTTAGTTCTCATCTCATTTTGATTTTTATTGGTCAATGATTTATAGTCCTGGAGTAGTGAATTGTATTATTGTAACAATTAATGTGCCTCACTGACAGAGTTTGTGAATGCTGATTTCAGTTTCTTCAAGTGTTCTTACAGTTGACTAGTGAAATGTTTATGAATAATGTCCTCATTTCAGTAATTCATTGAATATGTTGAATTCACACCAAAAAAATTATCATGCCAAGTGTCAAAAATTATAAGCCTATTTTATTGTTAAATTGTTTGGTTGTATTACACTTAGTGTTGTGGATGCAACAAGTTTAAATATTCGGTTAATAATTAAGCGCATAAAAATGGCATTTAACCGTCCTAGTACTTTTTTTTTACTTAGTTGCTCCTACCAGTTGGACAGTTTAGTATGGAACGTTTTTATTATTTTTGGGAGACGACAGCATTCCAAGATTATTTTACTGCTTTCACGGTAATCACTAATTACAATCTAATGTTTACGTTCTTCATCAATTACACCTTTAAATAAAGTTAGGTTTAGAGAGAAGGTATTAGATTCTCAGATATGTCTAATTGACCCAATTAATTATTTATTAGTGACTAATATCACGTTAGTCTAATCTTTTAGTGCCTTATTTTGGCCTTTGTAAAATATCATAATTATGAACTTATAACTGTAGAGCCTGACGATGAAGTTATTGAAAACAATTTTTTCTCAAATGTTCTTCATTTTTTGAATGTTCTATGGGAATTTTCCTTATCGTTCATTTTCTTCCTGATTGTAAATTCTTTGCTCACATTTTCATAGATATTATAGAGTATTGGAACGTTTGAATATATACTATTCAGATTATTTTCTTAAATCATTTCTGTTTGTTTGGATTCCTGTTTTTTTTATTTAATTTTTTTTACGAATACTTCATCAAATTTACTCTCGAATAGAATTTGTTTATTAACCGAGGAAAATCTTCAATGTCTATATTCGATAAATCATTTATATTATAGAAACTTAGGCTGACTTTGACAATGGAGGGAAACTATAAAGTACTGAAGACCTATTTTCTTCTACAGTTTAAAACTTTTCAGTAGTATATATCCACCCCCGTATACTAGATTGAACTTAAGAAATGTAGACATCATAACCGGTAAAAGTATTAACACGTTCAATTCCTCAAACAAACAGAATCACACATTAGAAGCAGAGATGAATGGTGGTCAGCAGTGGAATCCAGGATGTGCGTTAGCTGTATTCATTTGCATCACAGAGTTGATGTTCATTCCTAACAATATCGAGGCAATCCGCAATGGATACACATATGTCGAAAAGAAACTGATCATTTTCAGTCCTAAACATCAGTAGGAAGATTTAAACAATAAATACAAAAAAATCAAGCAATTTAGCAAAAATATAAGTGCAGAAATTCTAAAAGACTTGAAATATGCATACAGTTTTTCAGTAATATTCTGTCATAATCACTAAGACCAAAAGGACTTTATTTGAATTACCAATGTTCCTTTTCTTTGTATAATTTCGATAAGCAACTATGCAATATATATAGGATATATGGGGGAAACATATCAGTTAATTATGAACAACATTAAACCTAACGCACACGTCCTCATCGGTTCATGTTTTACAATAAACTGATTTGTAATTATTCACACGTAAACTGATATAGTTTTTATGGATAAATTTTTATCTACAAATTTGTTTCATCATGAATTGATATCAATAGAATAATTATTGAAGACCAGGAAACGTTTTTCGTATCGGACTTATTTATTCCCTCTAATCTAATATATGTTCAGGTTGATATTGTATGATCCTTCATTAGACCCTATCATGAGTTATGGATCGTTAACTCATAAATATCTTTACAGGTATTAAATAGTCTTTAAATTTCATATCTCTCTCAAATGATGTTAGTTTTAGGTTGGAAAAATGTTTTTTAGACATGAGCAAAGATTTATTTAAATCGGTTACAAGAATAAATTTATGAATTTCATTGGAAAACTATTCACCTCAATTCTCCTTTATTTATTTATTTCATAGTTGAAAGCGTGAGTCAATTGAAGCTAGACCACCATGGAAAACCTGGAAACACTGGACGGCCGTTTCGTCCTATTATGGGACTCCTCAGCAGTGCGCATCCACGAACCCAGGACCTACCAGTCTCGAGCCGGAGCCCTTAACCGATAGACCACTGAGCTGGCATCCAACGGTGTTAATGTCTAACTTCAACTGTCTAGCTTCAATTGGTTCACGCTTTCAACTATGAAATATACTAAATTTCCACAAAAAACCCCTTCTGATATTTAATTTTATTCAAAATGTCATATTAAGAATGTTGTTATATATATAAGGTGATTCGTTTCGCTCAGAAATTTAATATATCATAGTTAGGAGCAAAGAATCATTGATAACATCTTGACGTTTGTGACAAAAGTTTCACCAATTTGTTCTATATATTCTGACTCTAATTGACAAAGATGAAACAAACCCAATATTTGACTTCGTATATAATTACTTCATCTAATTGCATTATACAACGGTGGTATTTCAAGACTTAATACTATGTGTAGCTGGGAGATTATATTTTATTCATTCATGCAATAACAGACAACCATGTAACCGTACTAAAATCTCTTGAGCTAAATCATTTATTTTTGTGCCTTAGCTTACTTTGTTCAAATAAACAAGTGAATATACAAACACACACAGAAAAGATGTACATGGACAAAAGGTCAAGACAAATTATATGGTAATCCATAACATAACAAATAAGATTACAATAATGTATGCAAGGGTTACATAGATGTCCCAGTTTTTGTGTTTACACAATGGCTGTTTTCAATCTATCATACTGCTTCGTAATATGATTGTAAATTCGGGTGTATTTATGATATTCTGAGTGTTTGGGAGCACTACAATCCTTATTTCTTCATATCCTTGATGAATTACTTGTTATCTGATGAATAACACAACCATACTATCTTATTTGAACATTTCGAATAAAATTAAAAGCTAGGATTCACAGTATATTCTCAACCAACCAACCAGTTGTTGTTCTGTCTTCTACACTACAAGCAGTTAAGATGTGAATCTCAGTTACATGATCAAAATCCGATTAAATAGATCAAGTTGTCATAAAAAACGTTTAGCGTATCATATTTATCTTATATGAGAAATTCGGTGTTTATCATTTACTGATATATAACAACCAATGCTGTGCTCTCACATGATGATCGTGAGACTAAGTTCATTCGCTGTATCAGTGTGATTTATCATCAACAATCTAACATTTTTAATCATATTATGTAATGATTGAGATCTTTTAGGTTGCATCGGGTTACTCTGTTATCTTTTTTTCTTTTAGTCACCATACCATAAGTCTTCTATTCGCGTAATTTTTCTACTCTTCAGTATTGTTCTGATAACAATGGGAAGAGTTCAGAAATTAGTTGGTTTCTCAAAAACTGGGAGAAATTGATCAGCCCTTTCGTCCTACTTCTGAACTCCTCAACAGCACTCATATGACCCCACCAGGGATCAGACCTGGGACTTTCAGATTACATGAGCATCGGATGGTACAGCCGATCGATTTAATTTGGCGATGTGTTCTATTAGATTATGACTCTAATTTTAAAGTAACGTGGTCACCACGACATCTTAAGGTTGTAAATCTGATTCTCTGACGAATATTAACCAAAGAAAAAATATTTACAGAAATAACTATTTTCCTTCAAATATCCTTTTCTTTATCTATTAGTGGTCGACTTAGCTGGCGTGATGTTCAATATATTACTTTACTAACAGCTAATCCGAAACCGTTCAAAGATGGTAATTTTACAAAGAATGCTGTTGGACGTGAATGTAAGTTCTATTTTGCATAGGTTCTGCGTTTTGAAGTATAATGTTTACTTTTGTACAATTATAATAAAAGATTATTGCCTATTTTACTGATAATACTGTATAAACTAGTTAGAACTGTTAAACTCTAAACAAAAAAACAACCACAATAACTGGATATGAAGGTAGAAATGGATGGTAATTTGCAATCGGTGACATCTACATCACCAATGTATCTACGGAAATCTATCGTTCGCTCTACAATCTACTGAAATTTCACGTTAATTTAGGATAAGTCATTTTTATTTTTTTGAAATATCGTTATGATAGCTGATCTACTTCATATTTCTCGTACATATGACAGTTAGTTACAGTTATAACCGATGACTATCCTTGATATACAGTCATTAAAATTTCGTTATTATACTAATTTAGTAGTGTTGAAACACTTTTACTCATCAAGTGTTCACTTATAAAGCAAACGATTAAAGTTAGTTAGTTCTGTTTAGTTTAGTCCTATTTTATTATTATGAGATGGGCACATACATACTCATTCTCTTTCTCTTTATATATATATATATATATATTCATTTGTCCACTACAGATAGCCAATTGTATGGATATGGTTTAATGGATGCTGGTAAAATGGTCCGACTAGGTGAATTATGGCGTGGTGTTCCTGCACATCATCGTTGTACTTCAAATGTGATAGATGTACAAAAGTAAATTTCACCTTAATCTTTTAAACTCTTTTTTTCAACTAATAAATATTGTTTTTATAAGAAACGCAATCAACAAACTGCTAAACTGTCATCTACATTCCATTGTATCACGTAAATTAATCTCTCCATTCATTAATATAACTTCTAGAGTGAGAAGAAAGGTAAACTGATTGCTGTGGAATCGTATGGTTTCTACAGGTTTGTAGGTAATCAAGATGAACAAAGTAGAATCTGTGTCTGATTAATTAAATTTTATTTATTTATTTAATTGAACACATAAATATTGGTACAAAGGAGCACCATATATATATATATATATATATATATATATATATATATATATGCGCCACACAAAAAATTGTCACTTCATTTAATTATGTGAGGGATATGATACTGCCCGGGTACTCAGACCAAATCAGGTGGTTTTCTTAGGGTGCCACGCTCGGAGATTTTGACCTAAAGGTCTAACCCACAAGACAGTGGAGCATCGTGAGGAGATGCAGTCTCATGGTAGCCGGTGACCAACGATTGGTTGATACTCCATTTGTTCCCTAATGATAATGGAGCTCATGTGCTCCATTGATTTAGAATCAGAGCTTTTCAACTCCCCTAGATGAACTCACTGTGTCCATCAACCCGGTTACAGCGCCGGACATTTGCTTTTCGTTTTCTCAATTTCGTAAACAACACCCTGCCACGAGAGGGCAGTGAATAGGACTTTCCCTGTCAGAGGCTGTATACGCGTGGCTTTGTGAGAACATTTTGAGAGAGAGAGGGCGGGTCCTCTCCACTCTCGGCCGTACCAGGGCATTCGGGGGAATCGATGAAATTAGTTACGTCAAGAATGGAATTATTGTTCATAGCTCTCCGCAGCTATCATTCGATTTATCAAATAACTGGTGCATAATGTAACTTGTCTGCTATTATTGTTCACCTGATCTATATTGGTAGGAACACTTATTCTTTTAGGTCCTACCATGACAGGCAAGCGTGTTGGAGAATGGTAAAAATAAAACATTCAATTAATAGTGGTTAACGCCTACTATACTGGGTTGTGATGGAAGTGGCAGTCAACGTTCGCGTCTTTGCCCCTATCCCACAACGAAACGTTTGTGTTGGAGATGTTGAGAGGAAAGAAATAACATGCATCAATTTGTCCCCATGAACTTCCTTTGTTAGTGGTAAGGTCTTACAAGTACGGTGCTAACGCATAAAGAACTAATCACGAAAAGGCCATGTGTCACCGGGCTTGAACAATTGCTTTTTGGGCTCTGTGACCATGCTCTCGGGTCTCCAAGATCTCTAGTAATTCAGATTCCTTTTTAGGTCCTCGAAGAAGAAGTATACTTTCATGGTATTGGCAATTGGGATGTGACAACCCCCCAGGCAACCCTAACAGCACTCAAGACCACCTTGGTAGCGATGAGAAATTGTTTTCATCTTAAAATAGTCTGCACAAATCTCTCACTCTAAATAGCATTGGATTCCTTCAAATGTATGAATAATTCATGCAATTTGTTTTTATTAGCTATTTTTATTATTCTACTTCTTATACTTGTATTTACGGTAAGAAATCTAGGTGGGAAATTCAATCACACATTATTTCTTCACTTCTCTGGATGTCGACCAAAATCTGGAAATAGTGACTCAACAAATAAATTGAATAAACGATCGACTTCAGAAAATGGTACACCCATACGTTATTTAGAACATGTCCAGGTTTACGCAGATATTGTTTATGAACGTAGAGGATTATTACAACTATCCGTAATATCTCCAAGTGGTATGTGTTTTTTAAATTATAGGTTATTGTACTGTTAGAAAACAAAATCTTAAGGTTGATATGAGTGTTTTTTCCAAAAAGAAGCTTCGGTTAAAATTAACTTGATAGACCTTCCAATTATTTATAATCAACGTATAGCTTACCCAAGTGGCCATAACACATCAGGATAGCCGAATGAGTAAAATGCGAGTTGAAATGCTCGTAGCATCAATATGATGGTATTGGAAAACGTGGTTCAAGAAAATTGAATGAGAGTGTAGACACACAGAAATACTCCAATTAGAGGAAAGTGCGTACTTACGCCTGTCCCCCCTCGCGGGGGAGCATAGGCCACTGACCAGTATTCTCCATCAAACTCTATCCTGGGCGATCCTTTCCAGCAAATATTTCTTTGATACTTTAATTAATTTTAAACCATGTCACCAAGTGTTTCTAGCAAGTAGTAGTAGTTATCACATGGATCTTTAAGTCGGCAGTTTACATCTAACATGGGTTATATCAACAGTCACTGGTTTCATGAATGGATGTTATGTCATGATTTATTTGCCCTTAGTTTTCTTTTAAACTGCCTTCAGGCCTACCTTTCAGTAATGGATAGTATTTACTCTGTCTTATAATCTAACTCCATGATAGATCTGTATTGAAACTTGTTTTGTAGGAGTATATAAGATTATCTGAAGTCTCTCTAAATCGAATTTGATTACTTAAATGCACTTTTCTGTAAACTATCGATTTATCATTGTAATATGTATTAAGAACTGCTCTAACATTGATCATTTTTAAGTATTATGAGGTCATTAGAACAATTTGAAACCATCTTAGATTTTTTCGGTTAAAATAATATATTTGCTGACTCAGAACTATTATGTTAAATCCTCTAAATACTACTAGACTTGATTCTTGAATAGCCGAGAAAAGGTACAAAGTAGGAATGATATTTTTAATTTTATGATTTCTGCGTAACCTATAAATTGCATAAATAATAACTTAAGTTGATATTCTTTGTTGCTGTTATTATTTTACTATTATTGTCTGTTTTCTTCAAAAGGTACGTTAAGTGTACTTCTCCCACCTCGAACTCATGATGAACATTCAGGTGATATAGCTATGCTACGTTGGCCAGTTACAACAGTACAATTTTGGGGTGAAAATGCTGTTGGTACATGGCAGATACGTTTAGATAGTATTTTAGGTACTGAAATAAGTCGTGCTGATCCAGATAATATTAAAGGATTTTGGCGTTCAGTTTGGATTGTAGCTTATGGTACAGACGAATTCCCTATACGTCTTAAACCTCCTACATCTGAACGTCCACCACCTCCGGTATGTTTTCTTGCTCGATGACTGTTGTCGTCTTCTGGTTTCTTCTTAATTTAAATAACCAGTTTCATGTTACCATGCTGTTTTTTTCTGATTTGACGTTACTTTTAATCACCAAATTCTATCAACTGAAGAACCACAATAACAACAATGAGGAATAAGGAGCTGTTTCGAAACTTTTCAACGGTATATACAAATTTTGACAAGAAGCCAACCAATTTAGAAATCACAAGACTATCTATCTATGATATTGGATAATAGTATTACTATATTACCAACAGACTGAATCAAAATAGCGAACCTTAAATTCTCGATTTCGAACTTGGGTGACGTTGTACTTTCATCAAATCCGAAGATTGTCTTTTTATTCCTATGTCTTTGATTATGAATGTTCAGTGGTGAAATTTTCGCTTATGAAATCATTTTATTTTTTAAGTACTTAAGTATGAGGAACACCCTAATTGTAAGGCTTAATTGTATTATCCAGTTGCCCAAACCTCAGTTAATGAAGTGGGGTTCAAACATAGGATTTAGAGATCGAAAATCGAACGTCTTGATCTCTTAGAAACTGTTTCACTCAGTTTTTGATGGAAAGTGAAAAGATATCAGTGGAAAAACTACTTAAAGTATTGTTTAAGTACAATAAAAGTAATTTATATATTGATGTGTTTGATGCATACCGTTAGCTTAAAATATCAAGACTAAAAATTGAGATTTAGTTTTAACAGACTTGTCAGGTTCACTGAGTAGCTTTACAGTCCCATAACATCGTCTACACTTATACTGGATGAGATTTTGTAGTATGATTTGTAAATTCAGGTCATTTTATTCTTTATCTTCTCATGCTAAATTCAAGGTCATTAGGATGCTTCATTTAAATGTTGACCTCATTATTTTTAAGCTCTTTATCAAGTCGTACCAATTTACCATCATTTTCATGTTATGCATTGTTCCAGTTAAGTTATTTCCATAGTTTATGAATAAATTTAAATAAATTACGGATTTAATTATTATTTATAATGTTTTGAATCATAACCATGTATAAAACTACTCTATCAGGTTATCAGGATCCAAAAAAGAAAAAAAATTTTTTCTAAAAAAAACTTTTTTTTTCGCTAAATATGAATTAAGAAAGTGGTCAATATAAAAACGTACTTACTTATTTGCATACTTACGCCTATTACCCCTCGTGGGGGAGCATAGGCCGCTTACCAGCATTCTCCATCCAACTCTGTTCTGAGCAATACTTTCCAGTTCGTTCCAGTTGTTATTCATCCTTTTCATATCTGCTTCTATTATTACTTATGATTTCACTTAATGATAAAGATTAAATTTCTAACGTTTGTTTAAATGGTTTAACACTTTATAACTACCGAGAAAAATTATGATTTTGTGACTTTAAAAGAAATAAGATATATTTTGCTGAAACATCTAATCAAATTGTGTTATCTGTATATATCAAAAGGGGGGTTTGTGGAGATTTTAGTAATTTCATATAGGGTGAGATCATGAGTCAATTGAAGCTAGACCACCATGGAAAATCTGGAAGCACTGAACGACCGTTTCGTCCTATTGCGTGACTCACTCCTCAGCAGTGCACATCCACGATCCCGTCTCGCGAGATTCAAACCCAGGACCTATCAGTCTTGCGCGCGAGTACTGCTGAGGAGTTCCACAATAGGACGAATCAGCCGTCCAGTGCTTCCAAATTTTCCATGGCGGTCTAGCTTCAATTGACTCATGATTTCAACTATATATTATTTGTAGATAGTTCAATGAAACTTTTGATCTGTTATGTTGTTCAAGTTAAGTGAACTAATTTAATTACTTAGAGCAGTTTGATTGTATGTACGCTGTTTACACCGACGTCATCTTTGATAAATTAGTTCTATCGGAAGGTTTATATGAAAATTTATCATATTTGTAGGTAGTTTACAGCATTAGTTGACCTCTTTTGGGGGTACGATTGAGAATCAGAGAACACCAAACATCTGTTATATCTCAGTGTGGAACTCCTTAACGGTGTTAAACAGCAATTCAGTGAGGGATTGAAACCTGGATTCTCAAGTCTCTCGACTGTTCGATAGCCTTTATACTATTAATTTGTAACTTCATATTCCTTTTTCACAACTTTAAGTAATGAAAAGTGTGATGCGAAAATCATTTGATGACATCTATGATTGTTAGTTATACTGAGGATATAATTAAATACCATTAATCACTAATTCACACCTTAGTTCTGTGCACTTATGTCAAAGTAAGCTTCAAAAAATCACAGGGTTATAATGGGATTGAAGATTTTTGTGGATATTAGCCCGATATACATGTGCTATTTGTCACAGATTGATTGTCTTCATATTTCTTGAGTTGATTAACGTTGGAAATATGGAACATCGTATTCCAAGTCCACAATTTGGGCGCTCTATCCGATGTATGGAATTTTTTCCGATCCATTTTCGGAGACCATTGATGTATATTGTTAATGAGTTCTATGATGAAATAGCACAGATCCCCTATGCTATATAGTTTACATTGGTATTTCAACTCAAGTCAATCAGTAATGAATATCACCAACTAACAAAATAATTTTTGGGTATAAGGATATTTCGAATGTCAATGTATATTCAATTTCTTATCTCATTTGTTTCATCAGTTTTTCTTTGATATTTTCACACCGCTAGGTTGTTAGCTTTAATCACTTAGAATGGTTGATACAAAAGGGACACCAGATATATTGCGCCCCATAAATCTTATTCGATTTTTGTGAGGGCTGTGATACTGCCCAGATGCCCAAACTGAAGCAGGTGGTTTTCTTAGGGGGCCATATCCAAAGCCTTTGACCTAAACATCTGGTCCACAAGTCAGTGGAGCATCGTAAGGAGATACAGTCCCATGGTAACCGGTGAACAACAACTGGTTTATACGCCATCTGTTCCCTCAGGGTACTGGATCCCATGTACACCATTGGTTTGGAATCAGGGTTTTCCAACTCACCTAGGTGGACTCGCTGTATCCACCAGTCTAGCTAAAATGCCAGACACTAGCTGTTCGTCCTCTCAATTTTGTAAAAAGCACCCCCGCTGAGAGAAGGCAGTGAGTAGGACTTCCCTGTCAGAGTCTATATACGCGTGGCCATGTGAGAGCGTTTCGAGGGGAAGGGCGGGCCCTCTCCAATCTCGGCTGTACCAGGGCATTTGGGGGCCACTAACTCACCGCCCGCTTCGATATTTAATTCTTGTTAAAAGAAAACTTACAGTGATCAAAATGAATCAGATGACATAGCTTGAAATTGACAGTACTCGAATAGATGCCTTCATTATTATTAATAGTGCATGAAATGCATAGTTCATCTATACTTTTAGGTGTTGCATAACATTAAATGAGGATTCAAATTAATTTGACCCGACTATTGTCATCACATCATTCTTTTGTTCTCTATTTTTTACACTACACTATAATTAATATCACTAGCATAGTAATAAATCTCGTCATTTTATTTATCTATTTTATGTAATCTATTGCGGGACATTGATATACAATGAAGCTGGGCAATAACTGGATACATAAGATTGTATATATGTGTGTTTATTACCGTTTAGTGCACTTTCCGCATATTATGTCAACTATTTATAATCCAGTATTCGTTGATTTATCTTCTATCTTCATTAACAGTCGATTTTAATGCTGCTCCGAAACTGGGACAGATCCCTTTATTAAAAACTAACTTAAGTAATTAGTTAGCGATACTGGTGATAGGTATGCTTTGAAATTTGGCTAAATCTGGAATGTTCGGATAAGATTACGCATTGGATTGCTTGGACAGTATTTTCAGTAATGATAGTGTATAATATAGATAGAGCTATAAAAATAGTTATTTATGGTTTGTTTCTTTTTATTAACTTACAATTTGCAATAAATAAGTAGCAGAATGTTGACTGACACAGGTTGTCGATTTCTGCGATCCATAATCAGTTGCTATTTTACCAATTAGTATCTTTGACAGTTTTGAATTACTCTTTACTACATTTTATTAAGCACTGGTACCCTCAAGGATACTCAACAAAATTAATTGTATATCATGATCTTTATATATTTGTTTATCCAGCTTATCCAATGTTCTTACGATAGTGTCACAATCAATAAAGTAGTTTGTCGATAAAGATTATCTGCTACATAGAGCTTTATTAGTTACTGTGAACTCGTAATACCTATTCAATCAATAACAGAAAATAAGGTTCTATTTTATTCTAATTCACCATTTCTTAATTTTGTTTTTACTTCATTGTATTTAGTGATAAGAGACGGAATACAGATAAAATGATTTAGATATTATTAAACTTTATTTATTTCATTGATAACTTTATTGTACGTATGTTTGGATATAGAGATAACTACATTGTTTTGAAAAAGTGATATTTATTAAAAGCTCATTAAAACAGTAAATATTGTTTAAGTTTATAAAGTAATCATTCTTTTCGTAATGACCTTCAAATTTATAAATATTTATCATTTAAAATGTAAAGAAAGACATGAAAATGAAACATTGTTTACTTGTTTAAACAAATTTTCTATATTTTCCTGCGATCAGTCAGTCATAATCACCATAGAGCTTGGTATAAATATACGTCAATCGAAGTCGCCACATCATTATGACAAGATAAAAAAATTGAAATATTGCATACCAAAGGAGTTAGAATAATAGTTGTACCAATTATTGTGAGAAAGACTGAACTTTGCAGGAACTGGTTGACAAGAAAGAATAAAAATGTGTGCATCGAAAAGTATTTAGATTAGAAATTACTGCGAAAATAAGTTCTAAACTCATCTGGACCAGTATAATTAATTTAAAGCTCAGTATCTTCAATCTTTAGTTATAGTTATCAAGTTTATCACTAACTAAGCAGTGTTTACCTACACGCTGTTTAACATTCAGTGATTTCATGAACTACTGCTATGTTGTGATTCATCCACTCCTTTGCTTTCTTTCAACTTACTTCAATCCCAGCCAGATGTTTTGGTAATTTGTATTATCCTCGAATAAAAAAAGTAATACTAAGTGTTACCACTTTTTTCACCTGTTAAATCAGACAGTAAGAGATATTGATGTTTAATTATTATTCTAAGAAAACTGGTTTTGTTGTATCATTTATTCTTGTTGTTAATAATCATATAATTGATCTTTATCCAATATTAGTAGTTTCAAAATTATTATCGATCAGGAAATCGGGAACAAATATAACTCATAATTGACATATTTTTCCTATTTAAACTTAAAACAATTAGTCCCTTTGATAAATTTCGTTAATGTAATGAGAAGACGAAGTTTATCAGAATTATGTGATATATTAGCGCAATACATTTCGAAAAATTTGATCACACATATACTTATTAGGACATTTTTATCTGAAAAATAAAAGGTCAGCTGGGCAGTTTAAAGGTAAGCGGTAACAAAGAAAAATAAAATACACAAAAGCAATGTAATAACCACTCTGGATAATAAATCAGTGTTACCAGGGTAGGTTAAGAGTAAGAACAAATTATATGATCAAGCTATTCGAAATGTATTGCTCAAATATATCACATAATTCTGATAACCTTCGTCTTCTCATTACACTATCGAACCCGTATTTAAACAATAAAAACATGAATTTCTCCGAAGGGATCTCTTTATTGTAACAAAGACATTTCAATCATCTTACTGTATTCACATCATAATGCTCTGCCAATTTATTAATTTTAATGTTCATGTTACGTAACCTAGTATTGTAATCTATCGATCACATCATCATGTTTATTCCTCGTTCATATCTCTTCACGAAACTTGTACTTTAACACAAACAATTTTGCTCTTTTTAAAATGATTAAGGGAACTATGTTTATGAAATAAAAATTTTTATATATATTTATATACGATTGTACACCTTGATAATAACTTAAAATATCGGAATTCAAAATGATTCGCTCTTTCATTTTAGATTTAAGTTAACACAGGTTTCTCTACTATTCTACAAATAAATAGTTGTGTAATTGTTCTTTTTCTATTGTTTTTTTTGTTGATCCTGTTATTGCAAAGGAATGGTTTAAATCATTTTCGAAATATGTTGTTGATGATCGAGACTGGCATAAAGTGTATACAGTAAGTTGTTGTTGTTGTTGCTTTTTTTTATACTTAATTATGTTTCATTCAAAACTGTCTAATTCTACTAAACCGTTGAATTCTGTGTGATATTAAAAGTCTATGTTATATGTGTAGCTATAACATTGTAATCAGTATTCCATATCTAATATTAGTCTCTACATTATCTTCAAATTATTGTTAATAATTAAAAAGTAGAAATTTTATCCAACCTGAAGTCAAGTTTATGAAATGAGTTGACTGAATCTTCACGTCTTTATATCACCTGAAAAAATGTAGTTTATAAACTGTTTTAATCTTTTTATGAATCTCTTGAAGTGCTATGACGTTGTTATGCATTGTAAATGAATGGATTTTCATTTCATATACAGTATTTTGACATTGCCAAGTTAGAAATCTTTAAAATTTAAGTATGTATATTTAAAACTGCAATATTAACTGATATTTAATCTGGATGATTTGACTATCGGAACCCAGGGAAATAGTGAAGAGAAACTTATATATTTAAAGTTTGGGGTCTCGGTACAAATATTAACTCATTTTTATGTTCGTATCCACTGTGATGCAGAGGTCTTGACTCAAAAATTCGCCATATCCTGTTACGTGATTCATCATCACACAAAGTATTTGCGACCCTAAAAAAGGCTCAGAAATGACGTTTCCAATATTCAGGAAAATTCACCAAGGAATAAAGCTTTGTTTTCAATATATATGTATGTTTGTCTCTGCATTCACTAAATCAATCTGATATACTGGAGAGACTAAATACTCTAACCATAAATATCACTAGTTTATGTAATTTTTTTTCTGCTTATTTACAGAATATTTATTGAGGCTGTTTTTCTATATTGTATTTGCCACAGGAGACCAAATCAAATCATTGAACCCTGTTTTAAGATTTTTAATATCATTGGTTTCTTTATCTCTTAATATTACTGAAACTAATTAGTCATTGCCTACTCGTCACACTATTTCACAAACCAATTAAATCTAGGAACTTTAAATAATTGAATTCCATTCTATCATCTTGTTTAAATTTGGTTTCAGATAAAAACAGTCACGTTTAACCTATTGTAAATGGGTTACCTTGATTACAGTGTTTCCCAAGAATTCTTTAAATGTTAGTTCAGAAAATCTACTTTGTTCCAACTTTATTATGATTGTCTGTCAATAAGAAAATTCATCAATTAAAAAAAATAATAAGGATTTTTTAACTCTCAACATTTCAACAACGTCAACCTTTTGATGAACCCACAATAATATCCAGATGTTAAAATGTCATTCTGCTGTTAAACTAAAATTTAATAGTTTGATTTTTCTCAATACAGTTAGCGATATGTTGTGATCTTCAATATCATGCCACTTATGAAATACTGTTTCATTCCTGACTGATTTTTAATCCATGGTTTAATCACATATGAGGTCATTGAAGGATACTGATGATAATAAACCACATGTTAAGAATAAAACGTTTTCTTTTAATGAGGTCGGTTGTCGATAAAAGTCACATTTACTACAGTTAATACTTATTGAAGTTTATTCTCAGTTACATGGATAGCAATATAAGTTAGTTTATAGATAGTAAATTCTGTGTTATGAAATTAGTGATAATTTTCATCTTATCATTCTCAGTGTCATTCTGAATGCGCACCTGGTGGTTGTACAGGTCCAGCAGCTGATCAATGTTTGTCTGGATGTAAACATTTCGCCACTGAAAGCCGGTATGTTCTAAGTTGATGTTGAAATTTATAGATTATATGTTTTTCGTTTCTTCGTTAATTTTAAAGATATTTATTACTTTATAAGCAAAGATGAATGGTGGCTAGCAGTGGAATCCAGAACTCAGTAGTTAAGTGGGTAACGCGGTGTCGTTCGAAGCGAATAGTACTGGGTTCGAGTCCCGGGGTAAACATTAACTCTGGGATGCAGGTACATCCAGATGACGAGTCCCAAATAGAACGAAAGGTGCGTCCTGGATTTCAATGCTAGCCACCATCCATACTTGCTTGTAATGCCTGTGACTTACTGCCAATATCGAGGTAGTCCTCACATGATGTTTATAGGCGACTGATCAATTGCAGTTCTAAACATCAATGGAAGGTTTGAACAAACGATACAAAAATGAATTATTTATTAAACTGTATGGAATTCCACTTAAGTAATAGAATATCTCACTTCCTACACAAAAATGAAACTACTTATTTATTTTTGCAGATAGTTCTAATTATTTTGGACAAAATATAATGTAATTATACTTACTGCATTATTCCGAATCAAATTATCCCAGTTGAAAAATTAATAATGTGTGGCAGGAGGTGGTTGCCCGTAAACAGGAAGAAGCTATAAATATAAGCCTCGTGACAAATAATACTCTTCGACAAAACATGTTGTAAATCCTGAAGAAACTATTGTCCTTCCTGTCAGATTTGAATCTACTTTACTACAGTTTTTCAGAGCCATTAACCATAAGCTAATTCCAATACTACTAATTGCTTGTAGAACTGGGTTGTTTATATTGATCTTTTAAAGACTGGTTGTTACAAATATGTATATGTGAGCTCGTATCGGAAAATACTAAAGTAGTAAGTATTTCTATCGAGAAGTTAGTTTACAAATAAATGGTTCTTCGTTCCAATCACATATTCAACTAACGTTTAATAAGCATCAGAAAATTGCCTTCTAAAGTATTGGAATTCTTTAATCATTATTTCTATAAACTTTTACTTGCTAGTAGTCACATCAATCCCTATTTGGAAGAACAATCTATTCAGAAAATAAAAATATTTATTTAGAGACAATTTTACGATTTATTTATTTAATATTTTAAAATTAGGTAAATAATTCTGAATAATAACAATAAACTAGGTAAATACTCATTTAGTAAATAAGTTAAAAAATTAAAGTTGGTTAGTGGCTAGCAATGGATTCAAAGTTTAAAACATAACTATTTTCGTTTATAATGTTTTATATATGAGTGTTAACAATAATAGTTTCTTTCATAGTTGAAATCGTGAGTCAATTGAAGCTAGACCACCATGGAAAACCTGGAAGCACTGGACGGCCGTTTAGTAACATTGTGGGACTCCTCAGCAGTGCGCATCCACGACCCCGCCTCGCGAGATTCGAACCCAGAATCTACCAGCTTCGCGCCGGAGCACTTAACCGGTAGACCACTGAGCCAGTATTCAACGGCGTTAATGTCTAACTTCAACCAGTTCATGAATTTTGAGCAACTGTTCACCATTTGTCTTCAGTGAGTTAATATCTCACAACAGACTTGGTTGAACTCCACTAGTCACTGCTTCTCACCAGAACTTCAGGACATGTATCTTGAAGTCAGTTACTAGTGAGCATATGATCATAATCAGAAGGGGTTTTGTGGAGACTGGTAGGTCCTGGGTTCGAATCTCTTGAGGCGGTATCGTGGATGCGCACTGCCGAGGACTCCCATAATAGGACGAAACGGCCGTCCAGTGCTTCCAGGTTCTCCACGGTGGTCTAGCTTCAATTGACTCATGATTTCAACTATGAAGAATACTGAGTTCTCCACAAAACCCCTTCTGATAATAATAGTTTCCACTAGGAGAATATTTGGATAGTATGCCAAAAATAAACTAAACCTATTTCGTTGCCAATATTAAACAATTTTAGATTGATCTATAGTTCACAATTATCATATAAAAGTGGTTAATAAGTTGTGACTGTATGAGAAATAATCTCCAGAAAAATAAACCACATATCATCCTACCTATCATTAAATAATAGAAGCATTTTCCATGTCAACATTAAATTAGAATACGTCAAAATCACTGGACAGTTTGATTTGCAAATATTCTTCGTAGTTGTTATCGAAATTGATTTGACTATACTTTTAAACTTGTAATGTGGGATAATTTACTACATACTAAATATTAAGTAGCTATATAAACACAAAACCTGTAATGATGAACAAATCAGTTTTTAGTGATTGCTTTTGACTAGATTACACAAGATTGTCAAATCATCTAATGTTTACAACACGCAAAATGATGGATAGATCTAATGCAATTTTGAAGCCTAAACAATAGACAAGTTGATGTAAAGATAAGGATGCCCATGCCCCAAAGGGAAAACAGAATAAAGGTATGAAAATTTCTCACACCGACACGCGAAAATACAGAGAAATAAAAGTTTGGAGAAGAAAGATCATGATTATGTCAAAATCTATAAGACTGATCTAATTCGAAGATTAATTACTAAGCAGTTTTGTATTACCATTTCTCCAAAATATATTTACTAAATATTTATGTATTACTTAAAATCTAAATAGGAACAATGTACACTTATTTAAGATGGACAATAAAATTTATTCTTATCTTTTCATTACAATTTATTTGTATCCGATTTTATGTAAAACCTTGAATAATTACACATTATTCTGTCTATCTCTTGATTATTTTGTTTAGACAATGTGTATCAGTTTGTCCTCTTGGGACCACAGCTTTCGGTGCCTTACGTCTTGGTACTTCGTTGCATAATTACGCTCATTCTAACAATAATGATGATCATGACAATAATAATGGTCGTGTTAAACCTGAAACACGTACACGAACTAGTAGTAATTACCAATTGGATATGTATGATAATGGTAATAGCTTTATTAATACAAACAGTTATGCTCATAATCATCAAGGATTTAAAAATGAAATGGTTTGTCAACCATGTTGGTCATTATGTTCAGCTTGTATACGTCCACATATTGAATATGATTGTACAGCTTGTCTAAATCATCGTTTCTTAGTTCCATTATTAACAGCAAATGACGAAGCTAAAACTGTGTTATTTTCATATACTCAGGATAATAATGATCATGGAAATACAAAATTGATCAATTTTAATTTACCTCAAATAATTGGCACATGTCGAACTGAATGTCCAATAGGTTTTTTTGGTAATAAGTCGTCTTCAGTATGTGAAGCGTAAGTTAATTTTCTATGTATAAGTGAGAATAGTTTACTATTGATTTTAATTATGTATATATCTGAATGCGGATACACACTGGTTGTGGCTTGAATAAATTATGTGTTCTTCTTGTTTCTGTGATTACTGTTTCAGTTCTGTTTTTTTCTGTGATTGATTACTGAATGGTTTGGTCCTTTCCGTAGATCAAATCTAATCGATAGACATGTATTTTATTCACTAGTTTAAGTGATGCAATATCACACATATTGTGTTTTTTAATGTTAGGTAATTAAAGATGACAAGCAGATAGCCTCGGGTTTAAATTCCTTGGTAGTTCGTACTCTTTGGGATAATTTACTTACAATCTTATGAGAACTGAAGTCACATCACTCCGTGCCACAATCTGAGATGTTATCACTGAGTTATCTGAACTATGAATGACCTCCTGTACATTTGAGATCTGTATTAACAGATCACTGAGTGGTTGTAACAAATATCATGTTTGTCATCTAGTTCTTTGTGATCCCCTTATTATATCGACCAAGTTACAGTGTGGCCGCTAGTTCAGTTGATTCGACATCGCATACACTGTTTTTCTTTGAGATTTTGTGAAGTATTACGACTTTAGTCAGTTTAACTTTCATGTATGACAATAAGTATTTGTTTATGTTTTGTTATTTATTTGTGATCTTTTTTTAAAAAATGATATACGGTATTTTCTCAGTATATTTCGTCTGTCTGTTTCATTATGATGGTACATTATCAATAACACGGTAAATGTCATTTGTGTTTACAAAAATGATATATTTTAGCTAAAAGTATTTCTTTTTCCATTAACTGGCTTCTTTTACTGTGTTGGCATATGTATCTGACGTTTAAAATTAAGTAGGCTGTTAGTGCATTAATCCTGAAGTACTTGGACGTCATTAGGCTACAGCTTTTAGACATGTGACAGTGACTCAAGTAATGAAAAATAATTTGGCAGATAGGCGATTGTTTTACTGTTTTAATAGACTGTTTATTTTGCAAGTCTACATTTTGTTAGTGTTCATTAAAAAGAGTAAGTATGTATTTGATGGAAAATTGATCTCGTTTTTTTATATACCTAGTAGTTCCCTTTATTATTTTGAAAAGAGCGAACTCATAGATCGGTGCAAAATAATATGAATTCATTTTATTTCACCAGGTTTTCATCGACTGTTTAAGACCTATAATATTTTAAAAACAAAGTTATCATAGAAATTGACATACTGATAAATATGAAGGTGATTGGAAATCAATATGTGTATCATATACATAACTCATTATTTCGACTCTTCCTCAAGTTTTGAATACATCATTGATATTTTTCTTTGATTCATAACTGACTGATTTCAGTTCATATCTTTCTTTATTACCATTAATGTTTTCAGTTACACAACCATCTAAAGTTTATTAACTCTGTGATCTTTAATCTCTAGTTCGATGTTCTCGTACTTTTCCTCACACTTTAATTATTTATCTAGGAAACAAAACTTTCTATAACCTTATTAATAACCTTATTTGGATCTTCTCTACATCATGATGCTGATATTTATCTCTGATCGCCTTTGTACTTATAAGTATGTCAATATCTGTGATAACTTTGATATCAAAATATTATAGGTTATAAACAGATTATGAAAACCTCACGAAATAAGATGAATTTATATTATTCTGCACCATTCTTTGTTTTTTCTGTCTCGTTTTTGTTAGGTTCTCATCAAAATTCACTACTTAATAATAATAAATACATATATACACATTTCATTATGAACCAAGTGGTTTAATAGGTGAATATGTATTAGGAAATTCAAACTGTGATTTATACACAAAATTTTCAACCAAATTAGTATAACTGAATTATTTGTGTGATAGCTAATTATTTTTATAGTTTTTATCACGAACTAGTTAAGGTTTCTCATCAGAACCTCAGAAATGGTCTTCTATTGGTTAGCGAAGTTCAACTGAGTTGGGTTACCCAATAATGGCATTAGGTTGCAAAATATCGCGAATTGACCGAGGTTAGTCATGTAAACGCATGGATCCCAACTCAGTTGTATTGAGGTTAAGTGCTCGCCGTGAGATCTGAGGATCCTGGACTCGGTGTCTAGTAGATTGTCAGTGCGTAGTGTTAAGCAGTCTCATACTGTAATAAGACAGCTTTCCTGTGTTTCCTGTTTTCCGTCGCCTGTCGAACTGAGGTTAGTGGGTCACGTAAACTACAAAATTCAACATTCTCCACAAACACTCTGTACGAGTTAAACAATGGTCTTTCATTTATCTCCATCGTAACAGCTTTACGTAATCTAGGTCTCTTAACTAAATTGATTATTCATCTAAAACAATCGTGATGAAATGAACAGAAACAACATGGAATTCGGGCATATTGTAGTGGTTAGTTCAAGTTTTTATGTTATCGTAATTTACTATTCTTACTACTATCAGTACACCTGTCTTCCCACTATCAACTTGTACTTTTAACTATTATGCTTGGTTACGTATTCTATTTCATTGTGATTATTGACTCAAATAGCCTTGATTGGTCTAACATTTTCATATAAATATTCATGTATATTAGAGTAAAGCCTGATGACGATCTAATTGAAAACAATTGTTCGCTTACCTATGTTGTTCTAATTTTCACGATGGGAATCTTTAATATTTTATGTACTTGTATACCAACAAACTGACGGGAGTTTTTTTTTAAATAACGAGGATGGTAGTAATTTTACTGGGAAGTTTTTAAGAAATCTCGAATAAAGAAAGTAAGTAAAACATCTGAATTGAAAGAATATGTCGTTATGACATACATTATTTAAAATTTAACACAAGATAAACAAAAGATACGGATTCACAAATCCACTACCGTTGTTACGTTTAACTCATATTACCTGTTCTTTCGACCGACAATTTTAGTTGTTCTTATGTTTCAACCGAAATACCAAACATTCTACCATTTAGTTCAGAGATGAGTAGAGGGTTTCTGGGTCAATGACATTTCATATTCTGATCTCTCTTTGTATGTAGTTTACTCCATTCATTATCATGTTTACAGATATAAATACTATGTAGCACCAATCGGAAGTGGAATGCATGCCTATAGAAGATTGGGAATGTTCAATTGGAGGAAACATAAAGGGAAAGAGGAAGTAGTTGTAATAACAACGGAATTGAAAGAAACATGGAACAGCAAACTAATGAAAGATGTGTAAATTATGTATTTGGTGCATGGTTTTCATATTTTACGAAGGCACTCTGTAATTCTACATCGAAAGTAAATTGATTTATCCCACCTTAGTATTCGTTCACAATACTACTACTACTACCATTGCTCAAGAAATAAATATCATAAATTTTTTTTCAACCTTAGTCTAGATTTGTAGTTTATATTGGTAATTTTGAAATTGTTTCATACTTTCTTATAATCTTAACATCTGGTTTTTGTTCTATATATTTTCACACTTGGCAATTCATATATATATATATATATATATATATATATATATATATATATATATATATTCCATGTTTACTTAATTAAAATAACGCTAGTTAATCGTGTAGCAACTTGTAAGACTTTTAATATCTAAGGCAAAATGACATTGTTTGTTTGTTTGTAGGACATAGAAAAAATCTCAGCTTGATCTTAACAACAAATTTAGTGTGTTTTTAGTAAACATAAACGTATGTTTCATGTTTACATATAAATTTACACTATGATTTCTACTCTCTATGTACATTTTTTTAATAGCCTGTATATGTGCTAATGTAACTCACTCAACAGGTACTAGTCCATGTACTTGTCCTCGCGCCACACTCTAAAAATGAGAGGAAGTGAGACTACTCATCTACCGTACTCAGATTGGATGGAGCGGAGTTCGAACTTGGGACTTGGTGGTTTAAAAATCAAAGCTTTAACCACTGGGCTAACGCTCCCCTCACCAGTGCGTCAAACATATATTCATCTTTCGTGCTAGTTAATTGGAGCTAATTGATAAGAACCTCTAGATCTAGGTTTCGTGCTGGTTGGCAATTGTCAGTAAGACCTACCTAAATTCTTGAAAGGACAAACACTCCTTATTTGGTGTGAACCTGGGTCTAAGATTCTGTCAATTAGCTATTCGAGTCAGTTTTTCTTTTATAAATCACTTTCGTTAATATTTTCTGAGTATGTATTTCTTAGTGATTATTATTTGCAAATAATGATTGGACTATTTGTGGACGTTTCGGTAAGGAGTAATTCTCTGAAATGAATTTCGCAACTGTATGACATTGATATCTACTCTGTAACTTAATTATGCCATCATCTTAATTTTAGAAGAGATCATCCGTGACTGGAATATATCTCAGAGATATTATCTCTGACTGTCGTACTAAATGACACTGGTTCGAGTCTGTGAAAAGTTGCCAATTTCTTAAAGACTGAAGATATTCCTTTCTGCTTATTGTGAACATGAATCATTATGAAACCCTAGAACCCATGGATTCATCCTTGTTACACTTAACCCCTCAACATGAATCAAATCGCACTGTGATATCGAGTCGCTTAGTCTAGTAGCCATATTTCAAACCCATTCAACCGAATTCGATTAAAACTGGACTCTAAATAATCTCATACCAATCAATATATTTTATTTATTAGGATATCGTAAAGAGTTGCAGTCTTTAAGTTTCTTAGAATCGTTTATCGAAGTAGATACTGTGTACTGAGTTTTACAGTGCAGTAAATTCTGGGAAATTTGTCAGTTTTTCCTCATAATTGTTAATATAGAAAATCTTTAATATGTTTTATTTGTCTTAGTCTTCTAGTGTTTGTACAGAAGGATTTATTATTCTCAGAAATATATCATCCTTAGTTTAAGTATCTTTTTTGATCCCCAGTCTGTGATTCAAATGTCCATCTACAAAAGATTTATGTCAGAAGGAATAAATTGTGTTAAAATATCGACAAACTAAGCTGTAAATACTTATGATCATATCATAGTTTTTGCCTCTGTCAGTAAAATACTATCTTGGAAGAAGTTATCGTTTATTATAGTGAATAATTATCATTGTCAATTCATAAAGTCAATAGTGGCAAGTATCAAGTATAAAAGGCCATACATAACCTGTAGATTTAATCAAATCACTGGTGAAACAGCAATTGGTAGATGACACTGATTGATTGCACTAATTACACATTGATAATAACTCCTTAACAACTTTTTTCTTTTTGTTTACTGTTGTTTTCACAACAGTACACATACCATACTGTTTCATCATCAATAAAAAACTGTTATATTCCCTACTCTTGATAAACCGTAAAACTACCTTTAATTAATAAAATTTTTGATGAATCACGGCTCCGTTGGCAAAAGTAGGACAAGAGTTTTGTACTCGGAACAATACCTCTTTATCTTTAAACTATTTAATCAATTGTTCATGTACCTCAGATATTCCTTTTAAGCTGATTTATTAGAAAACATAATCTGTTATATTCCCTTGTCAAAACGCGAATTTATTGAGAGTTTGTATACATAATTTTGTTACTTATTTATTCAGTTATAAATCATAGATTCACTTAGATTCGAATTTGCCCACGTAAGTTTGAGCAAAATTATTCTAGTCCAACTTATCATATTATTGTTATGAAATCTGGTAGATTGAACCAGTTTTTACGTTGTTTATCTTTGTTATTCATCAACGAAATACATATATGCTTTATCTGTGTATATATTCTACTGATGGTTAAGATACCACATACACATTGTGTATGACCTTTCCGTAATCTATAATAATAAATAATGGTTATAGTACAATAAATAGATGGTTGTTACCATAGAAATTATTTACAAATTACATATGTGAGTTTAAATCAATGACTGTTTAATCTACGTCACATTTAAAATATTTCAATAGGTTCTGTATAATATATGTATTCCGGTTATTATTTCTCTATATGACAAAATATACACGCTTAATTTCGTTACCTTGTTGCACCTACATGTGTTTAGTAAAACGATACATGGTTGAGTTAAAACCAATTGAATTATTCTAAGATTTATATTCTTACAGATTTTAAGGTCTACATACTCTAAAATTATTCTGCTATGTTTGAAGAGATTACGAGGTCACCTAAAATCGGCGAACGGAACAAAAGATCAGTGACACAACGACAAGACAAGCTAAACTATTCCGATGCGTTCCAGCCCTTCTAACTAGAGCGAAAAGACCCGGTCCAGATGAGGTAAAGATATATTCCACAAACACCCGGAAGCATAAATAACAAGCACACAACCCTAAGCGTATATATACAGCACAAAAACGTCCTTGGAAAACATCACAAAATAGCTTATTGAAAAAGGGGACGAACCAATGACATTTACAGTAAATGTAAAAATGGGCTTTTTGGCTCGAAAAGGTGAAATTCAATTTTTTAAATAAAATTTCAAAAATAAGACATTTACCAAGTGATTTCCGGGTATCTAGCGTCCCTAGCATATTCAATTTTCATCTCTGTTTTTTTATTTAAAAAATCTAGGTGTGCGGAAAATTGTGCACAGTGCACTGGATCAAAATCAGATGAATGTCTTGAATGCTATTCCGGTTTTCGGCTAATTCATGGAAAGTGTGTTGATGGTACATCAGCTGATGGTCGCTGTAAATCGGGTAATTTGATGTATCCTTAACTATTTATTAAATTTCTTTGAACGTAATTTTTTGCTTATAAACATTCCTGTCCATATGTTTATATTTTATCAGTAATATAGTAATTCAGTTTCTAAGCACAAGATTATAGTGTAAGTTTTAAATTGTTTTCGGGTATTCCACATGTTACGGAATCAGTGAAGTACAATCAGAATTCACTTAAACTGAAGTCTGAATTCGCCTATTTTCATACTGTTGAAAAGCTTAGCAAAATTTCATTTAAATAATTACCTTCAAACTGTACCTGTTATGTAGACACTGAAGACGATAACTGATCAGTCAAATAGGGTCAAATGCCTAAACTTTATTTCGCAATTACAACTTTACCATAGATTGATCATAACTAAAGAAGGCTACATTAAATTATTTAAACGTTTATAGACTCCACATGGGCGTCAGTTATGATCTGGTTTTTGGAACTATGTGTAACAGATCTACCTATGCACTGATTGACTAGCGAATAGTTTCCAGTTGCATCATATGTTCGAATTCCCTCCTCGCATCCTTCAGTTTCTCAGGTGGCAAGCTTGTTGGTCTAATACAAACTGATTGACTAGTCGTGGTCATGTGATGTTGAATGTTATTTGACGTGTGATCTGTGTGGTAATTTGATTTATTGATATTATCTTATTCGTCTAGGATGTTAGTGAAAATGTTATTCTTTGGTTTTAGTACATACATCCCGTAGGTTTCGCAGTTGATCGTAATACCGTTAACCTTAAGACGTGTGTATTCATCAATGAGTTTACTAGCATTCACACCAACTTATAGGTTATAAGCACTGAGGAAGCTTGCCCTTAGGATAGTTTATCCAACTTCTGAAACTATGGAAGTTCACGATAAACGTTGAAATAGTCTAAGGTCTAGTATCAATAATTGCTCACTATAACGTGCACGATTATCAGGTATATGTAAGCTAGCTGAACGTACTCACTATTATAATGTTGTTCACCTTTGTTTTAATATCAAAAGTTTAAAATCATAAGACTTTGTCAATGATCTAGCAGATATGTAAAATTATGTTACTACGTTCTTATATTAATTATCTTTTGCTATCACAAACATCTTAAAACCACCAGACGTGTATGCAGAGTTTATTGATGATCGAATTTTCTCTGAAAATGTTATCTGCCAATATTTTGCAGATTTATAATTAAAACATGAAACTCAAACAATAAATAACCAAAATATTAGCTAAAAACTATCGAGATTTCCATATACTCAAGTATGAACTACTTAATGCCTTATCTGTATTTTATATTTAAGTAATATGGACACAATCTTTTTTTTCTCTGATTTTTTTTAAGGACAATATTTAAAACATTCCAAATGTGTAAATTGTCATCCATCTTGTGATAAAACAACTTGTATAACATCAGATCAATGTATTTGGTGCCCTATTCACTTACCGTAGGTTAACGAAATCATTTTTAAATTAATTTCTTTTCTTTTTATATCTGTTAACTTTTATTGAAGGGGCTTGATAGGCATAAGTGTTTTTAATTGTTATTCGTAATTGAAAGCCAATTAGAAAATAGAATTTTTAACTATAGATAAGATTTGATATTATATTGGTTTTACAGTATATTGATCTTTAAAGAGATACTAACAATCCAATAAAGAAAAGGTTCTTTTTGACAATATTACTTTTTGAAAGTACGTAATTGTGTTTTTGGTAATCTATCAAGTATAATAGTGTATTGAAAACCAACAAATTTATTACATCATAGAATGTTCATAAATTTCGGTTATCAAAGGAAGGTTGCGTAATCGATTATCTAAAGATTAGAAAACGAAAGTAAGATAAAGTTGGTTTGCAAACTAGGAAGTATGGGAGGTATGTGTTCACTTGGGAGATAAAGCGGAAATAAAGGACATTAAGGTGATAATAACAACTAAATGATAATTATGAAAAGTTGGAAGAGAATAATAACAACAGGTAACTGAATAAAAGAAACTAGAAGAGGTTTTATGGTCACTAATTTATAATGTAAATTGGTTAATTTACCAAAACTGAATCGTTCCAAATTTTCATAGACTTTTACTAATATTCCAGCCTTAGGCATTTGTTGTCAAACAAGTTATTTGGTGAGACTTTGATTTATGGATGACCTTTGAGCGACCACAAAGTGACCTCGAAAAAAAATCACTTATTAAAAAGGATTGTAAATTAGCTTGAAAAGTTAAGATTCAGATTTATAGTTTAGAAGTTAAGGTTAGGGACCGAAGTTGAGTTTTCATCACAAACTGACATCAGCTATAATGCCAAAATAGTATTTAACCATATGGTTGAATGAATTTCGTGCCAAAATCCAAGACTTGCTATCTTTAGTTTCATTGGTTCGTCAACAAATTATAGTCACTCCAGTTATTCTTGTTCTAAGAATATGTATTGATGTCTTTCAAATGACTGTTATTTTATCAAGTTGTGCTCAAATTGAACAGAAGCCTATGCATTTCAATAGTTTAATTCACTTTTTCATACTTCTAATTGTTCTATTCTTCTGCTTTAAACACAGAAACTTTTTTAATTCCACCTGTACAAAATCTTGTCCAGAAGGTTGGTATTCTGGTGAACAAATTCAATCACCATTTTATGCAAACAGTGTACAGAATGAAATTTTACCACCTAAACAACCAATACAAATATGTGAAGCCTGCTCGCCTGGTTGTCAAAAGTGTATTAATTTCAGTGTATGCGTAGTGTGTTTGCCTGATTTGAAACTTTACAATGGCACATGTATATTGTCCTCAGATGATAACAATAAAACTGATAACTTTTCTTCTAGTAACAGGTAAGTTATTATATTAGAAAAATTCATGGTCATTCCATTCTTCTCAGTTTGGTGTTCTTATGTTTTTTATAAATCATAAATATGAATAAAGCTCTATTCCTAAAATTAATTTGATCGCAGAAACACTGAGTATTTAATTGGTTATTGGGGTCCTATTAGTTCTATAACATTCTAGGAAGGGTACTTATAGTAATAAGTTTTACATATCTAACGAATAACATAGTGGATTGGCACTTGAAATTTTCATAGAATGTTCTAAGAGCGCTGATTGGCTTCGAGGACTTAAGATATTCTTTAAAAATATTATAAACAACTGATATATATCAGGAAGCACCTTTTCTTATTCTATTTACGCTAGATGCAAGATAACTCGTTTATTTTCTCTATACTTGACCTGAGAAATTTCTAATCTATCAATTATTCCAGTTAGCATTATATGTCAAGTCAGTCTGTGTATTAGCAACCCTAACTAGTTCAATACGTTTAAAGTTTCAATGGCTTCGACTAAAAGTCTTACTACATGTGAACATCTGACCATTAAGTCACATACATATTGGTTGTTTGGATCTTCCGATTAATGCTTTTGATTGCAATTGATCGGTCTCTTTTAGTATATTTGCATTCTGTGCAGATTGCCTCAATATTCCCATTAAATCCCAAGCACTGCAAGCAGAGATGGATGTTGGCAAGGTTATAAATTTTGCCCCAGTCAATAATCATGTTACAAAATTGCTAGTCAGAACACAGACTTATATGACCTTGTTCCTGTGCTGTAACAATGATACGTTAACCATCATGAGCAGCCTTTAGTCAACTTTGAGCCCTTTTTGGTCCTCTGTATATCAACTTCTCGCCTAACCCAGCTCATTGAGTCCAGAACAAAAATATCAGCCTCCCTTGTGCGAATCGTGTATTTCAGACATACATAGTTTATGTACAAGTAGATCAGACCGCATCATACCATAAAATGAAAAATAATTATTATACGAAATCAAGCCAACAGTGTCTATGAGTATAGGAACTGTAGCTAATAGTTTGGGAATAAATTAAGAATGGTAAATCATATAACGGTAGTCAATAAGTTAAATGAAAGCTTATGATAAAAGGAGTACCACTATACATATAATCTAGTTACTTAATAATTATCCAATAAGAGTATATGCAATAATAGTCCATGAATAATCCCGAGCAGTTACTATTCATTTATTCTTCATTCGGATGTAACTGAGTAATATTGGAATCCAGGATGCGCATTTCGCCTTATGTGTGACTCGTCAGCTAGATATACTTGTATTGCGCTGTTAGCCACCATTCATTTCTGCTTACAATCTGATCATCAAGTTAGTGTAGTAACTTCATGCTATCTGTCGTTAGTGTATAGACTCACTATCTGATTCCATTTGACGATTGAATAGACGATGAATGAACTATAAACACAGATTCTCCTCTTGATTTCGTATATTCTACTTAGGCTAACTCCATTTGAGCAATGGTGGTAATAAAAAGCTAATATGAATTAAGTTGGGAGAATTTACTTCCGACATTCCTTTTTTCGGAGAAACGATGACAGATGCAAAATCAAGATAGTAAACATACCTACTCACTCTAATACAGCATGACTCACTATTTGTAGTCAGACACAAAAAAATCTAAAGACATATGATGAAGAAACCAAGTGATAAACACACACACATATGGTCATATAAAGACAATCAAGGTTACCCGTGTATAAGTCACACGTCAGAATTTTGTGTGGATAATGACTCAGAAGAATAGATTAACTGTTCCATCCAAAAACTAGAATAATCGACATAGGCATAAAATAGTACTAAATGCTACAAGTTGATATGCCTTATGGTTGAATAGATAGCATCGATTCATTACACTCCACGTGTTTTTCGAGAAACAAAGGATTGAGTTTCCTATATTTTATAAATAACGAATGTATGTATTAGAACTCACCATTCTATATGTCTATTGACTCTGTAAATCACCGGCGAACCTCACTATTAAAACTATACCATGCCGACGACCTTAAGCGGTTTGAATGATGATCTTGGGACTAACCGATCAAAAGTAACCGGTCAGCACGCAGTTTCTGTGCAAAAGCTCTAAAATATAGAAAAGTGATAAATTTTCAGTTTTATGAGTTTTAGTACCGTTGATAAACTTATTCGTGCTAGATGTCAGTAATTTAGGCTAAAAATCATGGTATTATAATCCAGCTAGACCGTAATTCCTAGCTCTAGGTCACCCTAAATTTCCTAAAACCTAACTCCTCAACCCTAGTTCTTAACCCTGAAAGCCCAAAGCTTAAGTCTTAACCCTAAAACTTCTTGACGTTTACTCCTAACCTTGGAACTCCTTAACCCAAGATCCTAAGGCTAAGACTTCTAAACCCTAACATACTGACATCAGTTCATTTCACAAGTAATCCATCACCCAATCTTTTCGAAATGTGAAATATTATGAAGATCGTGAGTTCCAACAATTAGCTATCCACTATAACGTTTTAAATGTTGTCATCAGTTAACTTTATTTTGATCGGTCGCTCAATGCCGTCGATATAGTATAGTTTTGCCACGATACTTTATGCATCACCCTGGGTAAATGAGTCTGCTGTTGACTTGAATCACTTTATCGGTATGGGGTTGTGGTGATTGTTAAGTTTTTGATTGAAATGATGGATCGATTAATGTCATACCATCATGGAAAACCTGGAAGCATTTACGGTCGTCTCGTCCTAGTATGGGACTCAGCAGTGCGCATGATCCTGCACGCTAGATTCGAACCCAGGACCTTCGATCTGGCCCGCAAATACTTAATCTCTGGGCCACTGAGCCATCATCCAATGGTGTTAATGTCCAACTTCTATCGATTCATGATCTTGCGCAACCCTGTATCCAATTCTATTTAAATAGTTACATGATATAACTTTGAAGCATATAACAACTTTAGCAAAACTAAAATAGTTAACAGCTAGTCAGATAACATCGAAGGTCATTGAAGAAATAAAAATTAGACAAATCGTATCAGGGTTATCTCTCGATGAAAGAAATAAAATATAGTAATAAAAAATCTAGATAACCTTTTCTCTTCTTAGCAATCATAAAATATCTTTAAGCCCTGTTTCCATTTACCTTATATGAAAGGCTGCGGTTACAATAAAATTATTTAATAGACCGGTATTAGAGAAACAATGTGTTGTGTTTAGTCAATTTTTTCTTCATTTCCATACATTAACACCGAAATATTTTTTTTCTATTCAACTCTATCTTATTGTTTTATCTTCTATGCACCTATAGTCAGATTGGTAACAGGAAATCACCAAATCATTGTGGTTCTGAATCATGTTCAACATGTTATGGTGGTGTAGAGAAGACTTGTCTTCAATGTTCACCGAATTATCATTTACTCGAGATCACACTATTCAGTAGCTTAAAAAATATTGATTTTCTCAGTGGAAATCCTAATAACTTTACACCATCTTCTTTGTCATCTATTTTACTATCTTCCTCTCCTACATCATCATCATCATCGTCCGTATCAAAGTTTAATGAAACCAGCAATACAAATAATTCAACAATAATATCCTCAAATATACTTGAACTTACTGCATTAACTACAACAACTAATTCTGTTATACTTAATTCTTTTAATAATACAACAACTTCGAATACAGACCGTTCAACTTTAAAAATACCCAATTTGTTTAGTAAAACTATGAGAAATCGTCTAGCATTAACTTCTAGACGTTTTGTACATAATAATAATACTAATAATAATGAACATAATTCTAATAGTATTGTTAATATACCTCAGCCTAAATTCATCTGTGTACATACATGTCCTAATGGTTATTATCGTAAAAGTGTTTTGATTAATGGTAATGAAGTTACAATGTGTTCAAAATGTCCACCTTCATGTTCTACTTGTACAGGTAGGCTTTCTATTTTTTATAGTTAGATATTAGTTATATATAGCACATTAGTTTAATTTACTCAAATTAATTAATATTTTCAGGTAAACACATCGAAACTTAAATGCTTTCTTGTTGTATTCCATGTATGTTTTATACTGTAATGTAACGATAGTTATGTCTAATTCTACTGTCAGAAAAAACTCATGATTAATAATTCAATTAGTTTGAAAGATTGCTGTAACTACTTATTTACTTTACGCCTGTTACTCCCAATGGAATATAGGCCGCCGACCAGCATTCTCCAACCCACTCTGTCCTGGGCCTTCCTTTCTAGTTTATCCAGTTGTTGTTCATTCTTCTCACGTCTGTCTCCATTTCTCGGCGTAAATTGTTCTTTGGTCTTCCTCTTCTCTTTTGGCCTTCAGGATTCCATGTGAGGGCTTGTCTTGTGACGCAGTTGAGTGATTTCCCCAATGTGTGTCCTATCCATTTCCAGCTCTTCCTCCTGATTTCTTCATCCACTGGATGGAATCTGGTTTGTCCTCTCCCACTGTAGAATGTCGCTGATAGTTTCAGGCCAACGGATCGGAAGTATCTTGCTTAGACAACTGTTAATAAACACCTGTAACTTCTGGATGATGGCTTTCGTAGTTCTCCAGGTTTCCGCCATATACAGTAGAACTGTCTTGATATTGGATTGAAAATTCTGATCTTGGTGTTGGTTGACAATTTTTTTGAGTTCCAGATGTTCTTCAGTTGTAAATATGCTGCTCTTGCTTTGCCGATCCGTGTCTTCACATCTGCATCATATCCACCGTGTTTCTGCCCAGATATGTAAAGATTTTCACATCTTCCAGAGCTTCTCCGTCAATTGTGATTCGATTGCTGTATGCTGTATTCTATCGGAGAATCTTGCTTTTCCCTTTGTTTATATTGAGACCTACTGCTGCTACACTGGTCATCTTATCCTGTATTTGTTGTTGCGTGTGTGATAAAAGAGCCAGATCATCTCCAAAGTCTAAATTGTCCAGTTGCATCCTAGCTGTCCACTGTATCCCGTGCTTCTCTCCAGATATTGACGTCTTCATGATGCAGTCGATCACCAGGAGAAAGAGAAACGGTGAGAGTAAGCAACCTTGCCTAACACCTCAAACGAGTCTGTCAACTGTCTCCCATGAACGATTTGGCAGTTTAATCCATTATAGGAATTCCGTGTCGAAGAAACCTCCATAGTGTTGTCCTGTGCACACTATCAGATGCCTTCTCGTAGTCAATGAAGTTGATGTACAGTGGTGAATTCCATTCAAGTGATTGTTCCATAATGATCCGTAGAGTTGCGATTCGGTCTGTACACGATCGATTCTTACGGAATCCAGCCTATTGATCTTGAAGTTGGGCGTCCACGGAATCCTTCATTCTGTTTCACAACACCCTGTTGAAAACTTTTCCTGGTACTGAGAGAAGAGTGATGCTTCTATAGTTATCACAGTTGCTGAGATCGCCAACAGTGATCCCTTCCTTGTGATGGTGCTTCTTGTGGCCCAGAACCTCATGACATGTTGAAGTGATTACCTCTTTCATCCCTTTCCAGTTGCTCTTCATTGAGTAGATCATGAAAGGCCTGGAACCTGTTGCTGAGGGCTACCTTGAATTTGTTTAGTTTGTCGGTATCGCGAAGAAAAGCCGTACTAAATTTTTGTGATGTTGTCTGCCGCGTTGTCCAGTGCTTCTTAAGTTTTAGTTTCATCTTGGCGACCACTAAGTGATGATGTGATGCTATATCAGCTCCTCTCCTGGTTATCACATCCTCCATCGTCCTCCTGAACGTTTTGTTGATGCAGATATGGTCGATTTGATTCTGTGTAGAGTGATCCGGTGAAGTCCAAGTGGCTTTGTGTATGTCTTTGTGCGGGAATATAGTGCCACCTATGACCAGTTTATTGAAGGCACATAGGTTTGCAAATCTCTCACCATTTTCGTTCTTTTCTCTCAGTTGATGACGTCTTCGTATCCAATGTTATGCATTCCAACCTTGGCATTTAAATCTCCCATCAGAATAGTCAGGTCTATTGTTGGGCACCTCTCGACGATTGACTGCAGCCTATCGTATAATTGGTCTTTAACGTCTTCATTATAGTCGTTGGTAGGCGCATAGCATTGGATGCCCTCTTTTTTTGTTTTGAAGGAGGCTTTGATGATCCTTGGTCCATGAGATTCCCATCCTATAAGTGCATTTTGTGCCTGTTTGGACAGCATCAATGCAACTTCTTGCGTATTTGGGGCATTTTCTTCTTCATGACCGGAGTATAACAGAAGTTCCCCTGAAGATAGTCGTTGTTGTCCGACCTGCGTCTAATGTGTTTCACTAATCCCAAGCACCTCCAGGTTGTATTTTCTCATTTCTGCAGCAATTTGGAAGACTCTTCCGGCCTCCCACATTGTCCGGACGTTCCATATACCTATAGAAATTCTTGCTCTGGTTGTTAGAAGGTGCATCGGCCTCGTGACTTCTGAAAGAACTCGGCTTTCACCATGAGGCGTCATAACTCTTGTAAACGAAGACCTTCTGACTACCAAGGCAGAGTTTGAATTATTTTTCCTGGTAAGCGATTTTTAGCGAGTTAGTTTTCTACAGGATGGGGTTTCTAACCCCATGCCCATGGGCTTGAGACCGGCAGTAGCCCCTGGAAGAGCTATATGCGGAGTTATTCAGTAATACTACATTTGAGGAAATATGAATTGAAATATTACAATATACATACTGACTTTAGTTTACCTAAATTAATATGAATACCATAAATGTCTTATTGGACTAAAGTTTATACTTATTATACTGAATTAGTATAATAAATATTTACTTGAATAGGGGGCGGCCAGACCAAAACGTGGCACAAATCCATGAAGTCACTGACAATTGGACTGAGACATGTTGGTAAGTATAGAATACCTGGTTGGGATTCGCGAGATGATAGCAATCGATGGTTAAAGACCTTGAATGACATGGCTCAAAATCGTTTGCAATGGCGAAGGTGCATCCACTTTTTATGTTCTGCCAAATTCTAATCCACTGAATTCTTCATGTGTCTTTCTTTTTTCTCTTCCCAAAATTATTTCACTGGATTATACTCCTTGAATAACATCTTCAAACCCTAATCTTTCACATTAACGCTTATACTCTTACTACTTCTACCACTATAGAATTTGAATCGACAAGTGCATCTCTGTGCTAATGTAGTATGGTAACTCGAACTGATATACGTACGTACGAAATTTTACGTTGTGATTAACTGACTGACTTGAATATGTTAAACTTAATCCAAGTTTACACTAATATACTTTTTTCCAAAATTTATAATAAATTATTATAAATAATAATAACCTCGAATTATGTCACGAGTTTATTTCATCATATTAATAGTATTTGTTAAAGTTCATTTACATAATGAAATAATAATTACACTGAGACAAAAAGAATCATTTGATCACTGTAAGACTTAATTAATCCCTAATCTCATCAATATAAATAGTACTTTTTTATGTTGGATAAATTTAATTTTAGCATATTTCTTTGCACAAGATTTTGGCATTCTAATTTATATTTTTTATAATACAGACATATACACATACACACACATACAAACTTTATTTCTCTATATAAATAATAATTTGTTTCTCTTTTTTTCGTTTTGTTTTGTTTTGAGAATTTCAAAGATTCCATTTACTTATTATCATTTTTTAACTCGCTGTTATATCCCCTCTTGATTTTAAATTTACGGTTAGTTATTATATTGGTTTATTCTTTTTTGTTTATTATTATTATTATTGTTGAAAGCATGAGGTCTTGGATGCGCACTGCTGAGGAGTCCCACAATAGGACGAAACGGCCGTCCAGTGCTTCCAGGTTTTCCTTGGTGGTCTAGCTTCAATTGACTCATGATTTCAACAATGAAAATACTGAAATCTCAACAAAACCCCTCCTGATTATTATTCCAAGATTCTCATTTCATATATTCATTACTCATTCAATCAGTTTATTTGTATTGGTGATAGTTCATGATTTTCAGTTAGTTTTAGAGAAGAAGAAAGAGTGATTATTAAATGATTAAATACACGAAGTTCAGCGAAGGGATCTCTATTCAACGAATTTATTATCAAGCTGTACAATATATATGAAAATGTCTTATATTTGTTTTGTATTCTCATTATTTTATTCATGAATACTCGCCACATCCCCCTATTTATTTTTACACCTCTATGACCTTCATTGACCCTTAGTTATTGTAACGATATTGTATCCATTTTAATAATCTTATTCTATTCACTAAATCTATTGTTATTTCAAAGTTGAAATCATGAGTCAATTGTTATTATTATTCGTATTACGTAATCTAGTATTATAATCTTGGTTATTAATGTTCACATCAGTTCACCACGAAATATAATGAATTCATATTTTTCTGCATCAATATTTGTTCTATCTTTATTTAAATTCACATTTCCTCACGGAATTAGTACGTTAACAAATCTTCATATATATATATATATATATATATATATATATATATGATTGTACAGCTTGATAATAAATTCGTTGAAAAAGAGATCTCTTCGCTGAACTTCGTGTCTTTAATTTTAATGTTTAAATGGGAATTACATACCTATATATGAAAATGTTTTGTTTCATATATATATATAATTACTTAAATTCAACTTAGTATTGTTTGTTTGAATCTTCCCACCGATTTGTTAAGACTGCAACTGGTCAGTCTCTAATTGGCATATGTGCATACTGTGCGTATTGCCTCGATATACCTTAATTCACAAGCATGGTTATCAGAGATGGATAGTGGCTAGCAGTGGAATCCAGGACGCGCGTTCCGTCCTATTTGGGACTCGTCAGCTGGATGTACCTGCATCTCAGAGTTGATGTTCACTCTGGGACTCTTACGGTGTCATGGCGAAAAGAACAGATAATGGCGACCGTCTGTTGCAGCTATGCTCAGATAACCGCCTATTTCTTGCAAATACTAACTTTAAGCATAAGGAAAAACATCTTTTGACCTGGCGACCCCCGAATTCGTCCCAACGTTGGACCCAATTAGATCACATTGCTATCAGCCACCGATGGAGGGGCTCGATAGAAGACTGTCGCTCATTCTGGAGCACATGCTTAGATTCAGATCATGCTCTAGTGCGAGCACGTATCTGTCTGCGTCTTACTGGTCGTAGGAAAGACACTGCAGGGAAGCCTCTAAGGGTTCTACTTAATGATAGGCAAGCTAAGAATATATTTCAGGAACAACTAGAAAAACAGTTAGGCAGCCATGTAAGTTGTGTCCACCCCAAAGCAGCGTGGAATGACATCCGAAAAGCTGTGGAAACAGCAGTGATATCTGCTAGTACGATAAACCATAACGTTAGGGAGAAACAATGGATCTCGGCAGCATCTACCGCACTGATAGATGCTCGTAAACTCATCCCACCTGGCTCTGAGCATAACGAAGAGCGGAGTCAACTTAAGCGCAGGCTTATAAGAAATCTACGTAATGATCGTGAACAGTGGTGGGTAGCGAAAGCAAGAGAGATGGAAAAGGCAGCGGCAATAGGTAACAGTAGGCAGCTATTCAGACTCGTTAAAGAAACCGGTATTAGGAACCCGAATATCAGTGAAACCATCTCAGATAAAGATGGGCATATTATTCATTCTCAATCCAGGAGATTGGATCGATGGGCAGAACACTTTAGGGATCAGTTCAACTGGCCTTCAGCCACACTTCAATTACCCACGATCCCCAGTCGTCCTGAATGGCAAATTGATGTAAGTCCTCCAACCCTCTGTGAGGTTGAAAAAGCTATAGGAAATCTGAAGCGAGGGAGAGCAGCAGGCCCTGACAGGTTGACCCCTGAGATTTTTAAGGATGGTGGTCCAGTACTAGCAGTGAGATTGACTGAGGTCTTAGGTAGAATCTGGGGACTGGACGTAATTCCATCTGACTGGTCCCAATCACTGATTGTGCCAGTCTATAAGAAAGGACAAAAGTCCTCTTGTGACAATCACGGAGGGATCAGTTTGACTAATATAGTGTCTAAAATATTAGCTTCAATAATACTAGGTCGCCTAACCAAAGCTCGTGAAGAGCAGACTAGAGAAAACCAGGCAGGTTTTCGACCTGGACATGGTTGCATAGACCAGATATTCACCCTACGTCAGGTTCTAGAACATAGACACAAATTCAGACGTCCCACAATAGTAGTATTTCCTGACCTTAAGGCGGCATTTGACTCCGTTGATCGTGAGGTTCTATGGCAATGTTTGTCACTGAAAGGAGTACCAAAGAAGTACATTAACCTCATAAAGGCTCTCTACTCGAGCACAACTGGTCGAGTTAGAGCCTATGGCGAACTGTCATCAGAACTGATTACCACAAGTGGCGTTCGTCAGGGCTGTCCACTCTCCCCATTCTTGTTTAACTTTGTCATTGACATACTTTTAGAGATAGCACTTTCATCAGCTAAACCTCCAGGAGTTCAACTTTTACCAGGAGGCTCACTTGTTGACTTAGAATACGCCGACGACATAGTTTTACTCGGTGAAGACGCTGACAACATGCAGAGTCTTCTGACCACTATAAGCAACTATGCAGGCATGTTCGGAATGCGATTCTCTCCCTCGAAGTGCAAAATGTTACTTCAGGATTGGGTTGCATCGACACCTGAACTAATGATAGGGAGTGAAGTAGTTGAGCGTGTAGACCACTTCACTTATCTTGGGAGTCTCATCAGCCCTTGTGGTCTGGTATGTGACGAAATCTCAGCACGGATACAGAAGGCTCGTCTAGCTTTCGCCAACTTGCGTCATTTATGGCGTAGGCGAGATATCCGTCTAGCAACCAAAGGACGGGTTTACTGCGCAGCAGTTCATTCCGTAGTACTGTATAGCAGTGAAACATGGCCGGTAAGAGTAGAGGATATTCACAGGCTACTAGTGTTCGATCATAGATGTCTTCGAAGCATTGCTCGTATATCCTGGGACCACCGGGTAAGTAATGCAGTTGTTAGGAAACGAGTACTAGGTAGGGATGGCAAATCGATTGATGAAGTAGTGAAACTTCATCAGTTGAGATGGCTGGGACATGTGTTACGTATGCCCGACCACCGACTGCCCCGACGTGCAATGTTTCATGGTGTAGGAGTAGGTTGGAAGAAAGCTAGGGTTGGCCAGACCAAAACGTGGCACAAATCAATGAAGTCACTGACAAGTGGACTGGGCCATGTTGGTAGGTGTAGACTACCTGGTTGGGATTCGCGAGATGATAGAAATCGATGGTTAGAGACCTTGAATGACATGGCTCAAAATCGTTTGCAATGGCGAAGATGCATCCACTCTTTGTGTTCTACCAAATTCTAATCTTCTGAATTTCTCATGTATTTATCTTTTTCTCTTTCCAAATTTATTTCACTGTACTATACTCCTTCAATAATTTCTTCAAACCTTAATCTTTTGGATTTCTGATTATACTCCCACTACTTCTACCACTATGGGATTTGAATCGACAACTGCATCTCTGTGCTAATGTGGTATGGCAACTCGAACTGATGTACGTACGTACGAAGTTCTACGTTGTGACTGACTGACTGACTGGGACTCGAACCCAGTACCCTCGGCCAGAGTCCTGATAGCCACTTACTGTTTTATTGATTTATACAAATATTCGTCAAGATTAGAACGAATAGCTTGACAAAAATTGGGCGCCGAGTATAGAGAAGTCATTGTATGTGAAAATTATATTTGAAATAATCTCAGCGATTGAAATTTGAATAATTTCAAAGTTTCGTCCAGTTAACTTGTCTGAACTTCTTCAGGATAATAATCAAAATCAAAATCCAGCAAATATTCATCAACACGTAATTGGACTCTTTCTTTATTCAACCTCTTTATCTCATATGAATCGTTATTTCGACTGAAATCAATATGAGTTATGTTTAGCATCACAATTATGTACTTGATAATTCCCATTTTTAATTGCAACTCAATGATTCATAAACAATTTTTCAACCTTGAACTTGCACTTTTATTTTTACTTCATATAGAAACATATCAACACCGAATATTATTCATTAATAACTCATTCTTACACATACATACACACACACACAATTCATCCAGTCTTATTTTATTCCACATTGTGAACTTTTCACTTGATTCTCATTTAACTAACACATATTATCCTGTTTACAAAAATTCAAAATCCAAATATTATTGGATTAGTACAGTATAGATTTGATCTGATTTGATTGTTAAACGCTATATATTTCTTCGATAATTTTGATTATTACCCGAAAGAAGTCCAGACAAGTTGGCTGGACGAAACGCTGGAGTTATTATTTTAATTTCAGTCACTGAGATTATTTCAAATATAATTTTCGCATATAATGTTTTATTGATTATTTCACATTTTTAAAGTTTATTATGTCGGCGATGATCATGTTTGTTTTGTAATTGTTATATCCGTAAATTATCCTCGTTATACTTCAGAATTTACAAAAGTTCTTTTTCTTCATCATCACTTCTTTATTGTTTATTTATAGATATAACACATTGTAATCTATGTCGACCAGGTTTTTACTTGCATAAAAAAACGAATTATTGTTTAATGCGTACTACCTGTCGTCTTTCTGAGTACTTTGATGAAGATCAAGATGTAAGTGGTATACATTATTCTATATTTAATAATACTATATACCACTGTTTAAATAAATATATTTGTTCTATATCTGATATTCACCATAGATTGTTTTCATTTGGAGTACTACTATAAACAAGAGAGTAATGCATAATTTCTAACAAACACTACGTACAAATCAAACCATACGCCCCCAAAACCTTTCAGTACTAGTGATTTAATTCAAAATGACTTGTTGAAATTTTAGTGGGAAATGATGACTTGTAGCGTTTAGTTATATCGGAAGTACTACAGTCATCAGGGTTATTAGGTGGTTGTCATACTAGACTATGAATCGATTAACGTTGAAAATGTGAACTATAATTTCTTAACTCAATGATCTAAACGTTACCGGATAGCTGAGAGACTTGAGAGTCTGTGTTTCGATTTCCCGCAAGATTACATCACGAAAACGTCTAGTGCTGTCTTGTTTTCTTTGATTCTCAATAATACCCCAAATTAAGTCAAATCTTGACAGATAACGCCTACAAATTTGACTAATGTACACAAAACCTCCCATTAAAACTCATTTAAGATTATATTAATTACTTGAGAAGGAGGTACCTCAGTTTGAGGGTCTTACTAAAGAGCTCACTATGTTCCAGTCAGCAAGTCTATAATCTCTATATTGACTGGTTTTTTGTATGGATTGGTTATAAAAAAGGTTTGCTAATTCCTCCTGTTGAATGCTCTGAATCCGCCTGTTTGGTTTGAGCACTGAAAAGCTAATTTCGCGTTTAAATTCGTGGCACCATAGTTGCTATGTAGAAACAGTGAGTAATACTTTCCTGAAAGATACTACTGGTGCTCAGCTGTATAAAAAGTGAAATATCTTCTATATTACCAACTATAAGTCGTCTGGAAACGTATCTATAATTGATTTGATAAAGAGATGATGTGCAATCCAAGATCAACAGTTTTATTATTACTTTACATTGTAAAGCTGTTTTTAATTTTATCAGGATTTATTTCCTTTTTCAAGTAAAATGTCTCTTATGTTTATTTTTTTCGTATTCACAAAAATAATATCTTTCGTTCAGAGTTTTGTGGAGATTAGCTTCGACTGAAGTCAATTTTCATATTAAATTAATAACAACGTATGAATCATTGAAAACTATAGGACAGCGGATCATCGGTTTCTCTGTGCCTTTGAGACTCTCTAGTAGTTTATGTCTACATTACCTAAGCTAGTTGAGTTCTAAAGTGAATGAACTAGTGAAAGTTAGACTAATCCAGCAGAAAACAACGACTTCAATTTATCAAATTGTTTAATTATTAAAACATACTATTCTTTTCAAGTAACTTTTATTCAGCTGCCTATTGAAAGATATATACTTTATACCTTTCAAAATGTATTTAGTTGTTTTTTTAACTTTATTCTTTAGGTATGTCGACCATGTGATTCTAATTGTCGAACTTGTTCTGGACCTAATCCATTTCAATGTACCAGTTGTAATAGGAAACCACCAGCTCCACGTTGCTTATTGACAAATCAACGTGTTTCAAAATTACACAGAACTTCTAAAGATTTAGCCCCATGGACTGATTATTCAAATGTAGAACCTAATTCTGGACAATGTTTACTTTGTTGCCCTTATCGGCTAGCTTTAACTAGTCGTGATCCTAGACAATGCATGTTTTGTGTTGCTGATAAACGTGAGTTTTTATTGAGGTTATATTAAGCCACAAACTAATGTTAGTCATTAAATTCTTACTATAATCCCCATTATAATATATCAAACTAGACATTAACGATCCATAGTCTAAAGTGAAATATTCTTTACATTTGTTGACCTGTAATCTAACATAGCTCTGAAAAACTCGGTCTTCTCATTGCATTATCGGAATTTATCAAAGGGACTAACTGTTTTTAACTTCATTGTAACAGTCATCTTTGAGATGTTGTTGTGAATAATACATTGCATTTCATGTTGAGTGGATAAGGAAAGATAATAAAAATTTATGTTATTATATTATTTATTTCAATTCACTACTAAAGAGATGATTAGTATAATTACCAATTTTCGGTTTATTGTTTAGTTAAGTCGTTTATTATAATTTATTATATTTGAGGTTATTCTTCATGTCATTAGTTAGAGAGCTATTGAAATCCAAAAGGATCTAGATAACTCTTTCGTCGAACTTTGAGACTCTTTAACATTCGACATTCAAGGCCCTATACGGCGTTGTAACAAGAATGACGTACAAACAAGCGATTAAATTCAGTCATCTACAACATAGCACCAGGCATATATATGCATCAGTCCAAGTCGCCACACATCTTTAGCTCAACAAGATGAACACGATTCTCATAGCAGTTACTTCAATGGTAGTAATATATAGAAGAAATATTGTGTATGAAGATATAGTACAGAAAGAATGGATTAGTTCGTAGAAAGAAAAATATGAATTAAAAACACAAAGTTCAGCGAAGGGATCTCTTTTCAACGAATTTATTATCAAGCTGTACAATCGTATATATATATATGAAAAAGATTTGTTAACGTACTAATTCCGTGAGGAAATGTGAACATTAATAACCAAGATTATAATACTAGATTACGTAATACGAATAATAATAACAATAGATTTAGTGAATAGAATAAGATTATTAAAATGTTTTGGTTACAATAATTAAAGGTCAATGAAGGTCATAGAGGTGTAAAAATAAATAGGGGGATGTGGTGAGTATTCATGAATAAAATAATGAGAATATAAAACATAAGTAAAGGGGGAATGGAGTAATAGTAATAATAATCATAATCATAATAAAAATAGAATGATACTAAGAATAATATTAAGGCCATGGTAACGATAATGATAAAACGTACTTCTTTTGTACGCATAGTTCTGGTTTAAGCTCGTGGATGGTAAGAGCTTCGGCTATTTTTAAGAGTTTGATACGAAGAAATCTTGGTAGATTTAAACGAATCATATAAACAACCTTAAAATCAGACTGTGGATTCGTCGAATGATTACAGTCGATTAAGTGTTCAAGTATAGAACTTCTAACTGTTTTCCTTTCACCATTGTAGAACCAAACTGGTATATGTTCTCGTATCCGAGTTGAAAGCGAGCGTTGGCTACGGCCGATGTACCTTGCTCCACAAGAGCAGGTGAACCGGTAGATGCACATAGAGGCGACCGAACGCGGGAGCTTATCTTTTATGGATACAGAGAATAAGTTCTTACTAGTGAAGGTTATTCGTAGTTTAGCAGCGTTAAATGTCCTTTTAATCGTTGTTGTTAAACGATTTTTAATTATGTCTGATGTTCGATCACCTTTAAATTCCAGACTTATATAAAGGCTTTTCTTTGGGACTGAATAACTAGGATTCCTATCGACGCTACTTCTATTCATATTCTTTTCTATGAATCGGTCTGGGTAGCCATTTTTCATCAAAGTTTTCTTGAGGAACTCGAGTTCTTCGTTAATGCATTCAGTACTACATATCCGATGTATACGATAGCATAAAGAATGAATCAAATTTCTCTTTCTATTTAACGGAACCCAGCTATAGAAGTTGGTTAGTTGGCCGTTCCATGTTCGCTTTCTAAAGATAGATCTTTTCAAAGAACCATTACTTCTTCTCAATAGATGTACATCAAGAAAAGGGATTGATTGGTCTTTCCCTCTTTCTAATGTAAAGTCTATGGAAGGGTGGCATGAGTTAAATGAGTGTAAGATATCATCCAAATCAATATTATCGTCACAAACGACAAATGTGTCGTCTATGTATCTTACGTATAGTTGGAATCGATTTATCATTGAACTAAGTTGATTGTTTTCTAGTTTTGCCATGAAGCAGTCTGCTAGAATTGGACCTAATGGAGATCCCATTGCAATCCCATCTCTTTGTCTATACATTTCATTGTTGAAACTAAACTGGACATTAAAGGCACAACGTAACAATAATTCTTTTAAGTGTTCAGTTGGAATACCTAGATCTATGTTGTTAGAGTCAATATACTCACAAATATAGCATATCGCTTCCGTTAATGGTACACTAGTGAATAAAGAATTAACGTCAAGCGAGAACATGTATTTTCCGGAAGTATTACGTTCTTACGTTACACCGTCAAGCTTGCGCTAGTGAAATATGAGATCAATTTTCTCGAAAGCTGTATAGAAAGTAATGATTATCCTAAACTCTTCTGGAAGGCACTAAGACGAAACCACATTCATCCCAATGCAAAAACTCTCAAACGTCATGCACTCAATTGTATCGATGCTATTAAATCTCGAACAGTTGAACTAGATCGCAATATATCTCTAAGAAGTCACGCATTGTTTGAATTGTCGGTTGATGAACGTAAACAATTTGAGGATTATGTTACTGATGTTACTGAAAAACAGTCACAAAAAGCTAGACGTAAACATTTAGAAACATTGCAACATGTAGACGTGATTAAGAAGTTTCCAGAACATCCCGAAAACTATGTATTTAATCATTCTTCTATTGAACTTTCGACAATCCAATTTCAGGCCCTGTCATTGGGTCCCAAATTCAGTAATAGCACCTCAAATAGCAGTAGACTTTATACGCAAATTCAATTCGAAAATCTATCGAACCAAACTCATGATCTTATGCCGACATACCCACAAAATCTTCAGCATTTCAAATCAACACTACTGGACTGTAGTCATGGGTATGTTAATATACAATGTGCTAAGAATAACTTATTAACTAAGAACCACCTGGATCAGCTAATTCCCCTGAAAAGAAATAATGATTTAATCTTAAGTAAACCCGACAAAGGAGCTGGCGTAGTATTACTTGACCGTCAAGAATATTTGTATAAAATGAGGTTAATCCTAGAGGATGCCAATAAATTCTCCAAACCTAAAGGAGAACGTGACAAAACACTGCAGATTGAAAAACAACTAACGGATATTGTTAAAAATCTTAAAAATAAGGGGATAATAACCCAGGATTTATACGATCACATACGCCCAATGGGTTCAATCATACCACGCTTATACGGACTACCTAAAGTACATAAAGCTGCTTTACCATTACGACCCATTTTGGATATGTCAAGCTCACCATACCACGGAATAGCCCAGTGGTTAGCTGAAAAATTGGAACCAGTTAGAAGGCAAGTATCTAAATATTCTATCCATGATACTTTTCAATTTATTCATCGTATTAAGGATGTTAATACTTCCGGAAAATACATGTTCTCGCTTGACGTTAATTCTTTATTCACTAGTGTACCATTAACGGAAGCGATATGCTATATTTGTGAGTATATTGACTCTAACAACATAGATCTAGGTATTCCAACTGAACACTTAAAAGAATTATTGTTACGTTGTGCCTTTAATGTCCAGTTTAGTTTCAACAATGAAATGTATAGACAAAGAGATGGGATTGCAATGGGATCTCCATTAGGTCCAATTCTAGCAGACTGCTTCATGGCAAAACTAGAAAACAATCAACTTAGTTCAATGATAAATCGATTCCAACTATACGTAAGATACATAGACGACACATTTGTCGTTTGTGACGATAATATTGATTTGGATGATATCTTACACTCATTTAACTCATGCCACCCTTCCATAGACTTTACATTAGAAAGAGGGAAAGACCAATCAATCCCTTTTCTTGATGTACATCTATTGAGAAGAAGTAATGGTTCTTTGAAAAGATCTATCTTTAGAAAGCGAACATGGAACGGCCAACTAACCAACTTCTATAGCTGGGTTCCGTTAAATAGAAAGAGAAATTTGATTCATTCTTTATGCTATCGTATACATCGGATATGTAGTACTGAATGCATTAACGAAGAACTCGAGTTCCTCAAGAAAACTTTGATGAAAAATGGCTACCCAGACCGATTCATAGAAAAGAATATGAATAGAAGTAGCGTCGATAGGAATCCTAGTTATTCAGTCCCAAAGAAAAGCCTTTATATAAGTCTGGAATTTAAAGGTGATCGAACATCAGACATAATTAAAAATCGTTTAACAACAACGATTAAAAGGACATTTAACGCTGCTAAACTACGAATAACCTTCACTAGTAAGAACTTATTCTCTGTATCCATAAAAGATAAGCTCCCGCGTTCGGTCGCCTCTATGTGCATCTACCGGTTCACCTGCTCTTGTGGAGCAAGGTACATCGGCCGTAGCCAACGCTCGCTTTCAACTCGGATACGAGAACATATACCAGTTTGGTTCTACAATGGTGAAAGGAAAACAGTTAGAAGTTCTATACTTGAACACTTAATCGACTGTAATCATTCGACGAATCCACAGTCTGATTTTAAGGTTGTTTATATGATTCGTTTAAATCTACCAAGATTTCTTCGTATCAAACTCTTAAAAATAGCCGAAGCTCTTACCATCCACGAGCTTAAACCAGAACTATGCGTACAAAAGAAGTACGTTTTATCATTATCGTTACCATGGCCTTAATATTATTCTTAGTATCATTCTATTTTTATTATGATTATGATTATTATTACTATTACTCCATTCCCCCTTTACTTATGTTATATATTCTCATTATTTTATTCATGAATACTCACCACATCCCCCTATTTATTTTTACACCTCTATGACCTTCATTAACCTTTAATTATTGTAACCAAAACATTTTAATAATCTTATTCTATTCACTAAATCTATTGTTATTATTATTCGTATTACGTAATCTAGTATTATAATCTTGGTTATTAATGTTCACATTTCCTCACGGAATTAGTACGTTAACAAATCTTTTTCATATATATATATACGATTGTACAGCTTGATAATAAATTCGTTGAAAAGAGATCCCTTCGCTGAACTTCGTGTCTTTAATTTTAATGTTTAAATGGGAATTATATGCCAGTTGAAGAAAAATATGAAGCAATTTTAATCTCACCGTTTAAGGGAAGATAAAAAGTGTTAACACCTACGCCATTAAATTAGTATTCATTTGTCTAAATTATTTAACTATTATTTATTTATAACAATCTACGCAATGCTCTATTTATTCAAAATTATCAAATCAATATTTGGTAATGATACCTATTCAAGTTCTCATTAAGTTTACAGCATACAACAATAATCACCCAGTGTAATAGATATAAAGTGTTTTTTTTTCAAATACCTTACTTTTCACTTTCATTTCTATCATTCAGTTCAATTTGAGTTTTCGTTCATGTGACATTTGTTTAGTTTCATAAATTTCTCAACTAATAATCACTGAGTTTAAACGGTATATAGTAGGATGGGGTGGGATGTGAATTAATTTATTTTGATATTTGCCAAATATATCTTCTGTACGAGATTTATATCATAGTGTACTTGAGGCTTGGGAGGACGGGAGCTACCAGTAGTATCCAGGTTTCGAAATGTAGTTACGAGTTATCACTGGTATCACAAGCATATCAGACTTATAGTCTCGTTCTAGACAAGGTTGATAATTACCTTCAAACCATACAAAAACGCCACAAAAACATAAATAATAATAATAATAGTTATTCTTATAATTGATTACCGATTACGAACTATACTTTTTTGTAATAGGTAGAAAAAAGTAGTTTAAATATAAGGGATAACTAAAGAAAATCGCTATGTATTTTCGCATTCCCAATTAATTTGTAATGTGTAAGTGACACTGGTAAAAGTATACTTCACTGACAAACCAATCAGATTTGAGATAACACGTCTTAAATTTTCTCACGAGATCCAAAACTCAAAGGGTGATAGATTTCTTTGTATTAAGAGTTAAGTAAAAATTACCTATATCTAGTTTTTAAGATCCCTAAAACGGGCAAGCACATGTCATACCATCATGTAGTGAATGTGATATTGTATGTAATGCAAATTACAAGAAACAGCTGGTCGTATTGCAGACTAAGCCTGAGAAAGTTAATTACCCAAGGAGCGTGCATGATATGATTCAGAGCACTACCAAATGTATCAAAATGTTCTTCACAGTAAAATAAAATGCCAACTCCCCTGATTACTAGGTCATTACGGTAACCATTTTTTGTTATTATTATAAGTAAATCAACATATAAATGTTAAGTAATTATGTAAACATTGTTTATTTATAGTAATTTTACCACTTTTTATTATAGATCGTTTCATAACTATTGTTTTCTTATTGGTTGATGAGGGACATCTTGTTGCTCTTTAAATTGAATTTATTTATAGAACCGTTTACACTCCAATTTTATTTTCTTTCATTTAATCTAACTAGCTATCTGTTTAAGTGGTGATGAAATCGGAGCTGGAGAAGGTGGTTACATAGTAGATGTTGATAATAATGACCGATCCTTATGGGAATCGTTCAGTAAACAACCATATCGTCTTATTCTATTGATTGGGTGTATTATATTTATTATACTGTTAATTATATTCATCGTAGCTCATTTTATAACTGCACGTCGCCGTCGTCATCGTGGAAGTAATCAAATGTATTCTTGTTGCTTTAAACAAAAATATCATGAATCGAATAAACGAACAAAAAAAATTGTAACATCTGTTACCAAAAAGCGTAAGGCTCGACAAATGGCTTCTTTAACTAATCATTACAATTATTATCATGATCAATATTTTAATAATCCAACAATATTGGAAAGAAATAAAGTAGAAGGTAATGGAAGCGAAGAAGAAGATGATGATGATAATCCACAAGCAGAACAAATTTCACTAAAATGTAAACGTATTAAAGACAATAATATAAATATAGGATATATTGACAAAAAAATTAATGATATTGAATTAACTGATGATTGTATTACTACTGTTAGTAATGGTGGTAGTAATCATTTCTATGTTCCATCTTATAAATCATCGAATTGTTCAAATGGTAAATTACATAGTGGACGTGTATATCGATTAAGTATAGATGATTTAGTAGACACACCGCCGACCAGCATCACTACCACAACAACACCAACATGTACATTTAATACTGCAAATACGCATAATCATGTACGTTACAGCCAGTTGAGTAGTGGTGTACTACCTAATGATGATGATGTTGACAATTATAGTAACAGTAATAATAACACTGATCCAGATACAAATAGTAATAATGTAACTGAATCATATGCACTAGAAGATAACAGCTGATTAATACAATTAAGTATTGACACCTAGCCGTTATTTGTTATTGATTTATTATTATTATTGTATTTCTCTCAAAAATGAAAGTTTCATTCATTCCTGTTACCTTTCATTTGAAAAAAGACCTTATTTTTGTCCATTTAAAGTGTACTTTCTTTCTGTATGTTCCTCAATTGCACAAGCACAAGTCATTATAAGATCTCAGTAAAATTTTAAAAATAATAATAACTGGGCTAGCTTATTGCCTGTTCTTACAAATGCGCATATACAAATCATTCAGTTGAATTTTTCAATACATTGTATTGTTAGCGTTACAGTTACTACGACTACTACTAATAATAATAATAGTAATAAGAGATAATGACTATGAATTATTTTTATGCTGCTAATTTTTACTTCCCCCCTTTTTTATATACATTTTACTGAAAACAAATATAAAGGCCTTATCTAGAAAGAAATTAAAACAATTAATTCGTACGTTTCACCTACGTGGATTCACGTATTATCCCTATTATATTTTGAATTCCTTTTTTCCCGCTTTATTTTATTTGTATGTATGTATGTATGTAGAATTTTTCTGTACAGTGAGAAATGATCTGAATTTTAAGATCAACATAACTGTATGTTGTATCTGACCATGCTTTCTCTTTCTCCTTCTCTGTACTATATTCAGAAGATGAGCATACATTTAGAAATAATTCTAAGGGAAATAAGCTGTGATGTTGTGTACACTGTTTTATCTTCTTTAATTATATTCACTATTCTATATATATATTTTATTTTCCAGTCATTATGTCAAACTATACTGCTGTTTCACTCTTCATCATTTGTTTATTTTTTCCCTCGTTAGTTTAAAATATGTATACATGTGTAGGTAAATCTTACCATTAAAAAAAAAAACAAAATTAGATAATACTCTTTGTTCGTATGTTATTTACAATTTGCCAACTTAATACATTTGTTCATTGTCTTCCGTATTGTTCTTTTCTAATTGTTTTTCCATACAAGTAATATGTGTACTGATTGCTTCCATTTATTGTAATTTTTAATATAATTATAATAAATTTTATCACCGCTGCCTCCTGTTGCCACAATGTATCACTATTATTATTATTACTACTACTACTACTACAAAGAGTAGTAGCATTGTTAAATTGTCTTTATTTCAGTTTACGCCCAATATTTTTATTTTGTATTTTTTACCAATTTTCTTTTTTTTTAAATCGTGTTAACTGTGAAAAGCCGAAGTCTCTTGCTCGTACTACTGTTACTTGTGCCTTATAAATATGAAACGATGTTGCTCATTAAAAATTGAGCATCAGTTGTGTAAAGAAAACTTGTTACATCTTGTTGAATTCTTGCACTTTTAACTCAATGTACTGATGTTGATTGTTAATTTCACTGATGATGATAACCCTACTACTACCTAACAATACTAGTCCTTTTATAAAATATATATTTCCCTTTTTTCAGTATTGATCGCGACTATAGTGTGGCTTTCGGAGTTTTTTCTTCGATCTTGTCGTTACCTTCATATTTACGGTTATATTTCTGATGTGATGATGACAAGTGGTGTAAGTCAAAGGAGGAGAAAGAAATTGAGTGTGAACTGGAGATTTACTGTAGGTAGAACCGACTAAGTGATAGTACTGTAGACTCTTTAAGGTGGTATGTGTTTTCTTATGATCTTCAAACGCGAAACTAACGAATTTGCTGGGTACTCTACTGATAGTCCGTTGACAAAATTTGGAAAATTGCCAATTGATTAGTCTCTTTTTAATTTTTGGTTAAATTATTACATTGGCCAATTGTTGGATATGATATAAATCCCGTTTTAGGATGCTGAAATTCAGCTGTGAAATGCAACTGCTTCCTTTAATGATTTCTGGTTGTTCATTCCAATTGACACTTAAAAATATATTTACTCAGTTGTCAATGTTATAATTCTGATAATAGATCCTGTGGTTGCAGTTCGACTGACTAATTAGTGTATAGTTTTCAAAATTAGTCATTATACATGCTTCACACGAGCGTTCGTTTAGCAATCTATCCAAGTGTGGTGGTCGATATTCGCCCTAAACTTCGTAATTTGTTCGTCCTGATAACCGTAGATAACGCCTTAATGGTGTATGAATCAGAAGGCGAATACGAAGTGTTGATTGCGTATTACTGAACCACGCAAAGATATCCAAAATTACGGGCACGTTAAGCAGGCATGAAAGAGTAGTGCAGTAAAGCAAGCGAGTGATCGAGTCAATGATCAAGTGTGCGAGTCAGTGGACGGGACTAAGATGTACATATATATACATAGTGAAATGAATGAATCATCGAATCAATTAAGCTATTAATAGTAAGGCTAGCAGAATGAATATATGCGTAGGCAGTAAGCAATACTAAAGCATACATATTCATACAAGTACAATGATAATAAAGGTACAATAGTATAGATAAGTTTTTATTGTACGAATGACTGCCCATTAAATAAGTTAGCAAAAAGGGCTTAACCAAATTAAACATGATCTCAATTGTACGTGAGCTGCTACACAACGTTATTAGGCTTATGATTAACTGACAAAATCATATGTTGAAACCATGATTCAGTTGAGTCCCACAATAGGACGAAACGGTCGTCCAGTGCTTCCAGGTTTTCCATGGTGGTCTAGCTTCGATCGACTCATCATTTACTAAAATCTCGACAAAACTCCCTTCTGATAAGATTATATGTCTCAAGCAATGATAATTAGGCTGGCGCGTCATAAAACACACTCTTTATCCAAGTGTTATTATTGCTACACTTGTTCTCAAATGATGTAGCGGTTCAGTGAACGTGAACACCAATGGGGATAAGTGAATGTATTTGAATACAAAATTACAGTCTCTTAGTAAAATCTGAGAACTATAGAGTAAATACTTCATTTTAAAATATCGATCAATTGTCTCCGACTTGATTGTTACTTCGTTTCCACATCAATCATTCTCTGTTCTCTTCTCTTCGATCTTCTTAACCTTCTGCTGTCAGGCATTTCACTCTCAATTGATGACACATACTACTTACATCTGTCGACATCAGTAGCATTACGCAAATACTTAATTTGGATTTGTACTTCAGGGCAAAATCATATTATTCAGCGATAAATGGTAGTACGTCACACTTTATTATAAAATAGATCGACATTACATAGATAGCTTTTAGTAGGTTGATAAATTCAAATTTATAAAGTAGTTTTCATAGGTAACGGCTAATAATCCTTTTCAAAAGAGGATTATTACGAGTCCCACTTAGTTGAATGGTGGCTTTTAACAATACATACACACTACTTAACTTTCTTTACTGACTACACAAACGGCTGATCAGAAAATTCCACCATCATATATTTTGTCACTCCGAAATTCTTCATAGATGGCTCACCATCGCTCATTGAGCTACCTAGGCCGATGAACTTTTGAATTCTTTTCACCAGCTTATCACGAAGAATAAATACAGAAACACGTCCTTATCGATTTCATAGAGGAATTCTGTGTTTTTAAGGTACAAAAGGCATACTTTACTCAAGAAAGCTGATCGTTAGCCCATTAGGTCCTTTTTGAGTATTCTATATGCCATAATACAGCAAGATGGTATACATATTCGAAGCCGAAATGTTTTTTTGGTTTAACAGATCTACACTACCAATATGCATTTAGAAAGTGCTATTAATCTTAACGTAGAATATCGAGATAAATCAAGCCTAATATTGGTTTGGTACTTAGGAGAATAGCTGTAGACCATCAGTCTTTCCGAAGTGTTCTGTATAAGAATCTTCAACTGTAAACAAAAATGCTGGAGAAACCCTTGTCTAACAGAGTAATCTAGTGCCGTCATGACTAGATGTTCGGGGACAACTATTGTCAAGCAATATAATGTTTGTTAGTTTGCAGTAACCTTGTAGCGAAGAAAAACACGAGTGGGGACAATCGAATGTATTTCAGCACAAATTACAAACTATCTTACTAAGATGTGATAACCATACAGCAAACAGTTAATTTGTAAAATAACAATAAATTGTCTCAACCTTCACTGTCCTTCTGTAAATATCAATCCATATTCTCTAATTCCATTGTTTATGCATTTTTCTACCAATTGCGCTTCATTTCAGTCCTTTCCTTATCGGTCTTCTGCCAAAATACATTCTAAGTCTGACCATCACCATATACTACTTATGAGGATATAAGTAGACCACACCACAACCTAACTGGTGTAATTTATGATAAGTTAAAACGTCATCGAAATACTCATGGCCTGGAGGAAATGTAGCAACTTATGAGTCAGTTGCTTGGTGGGCCCAATTAATGCACATAACGAGAAGACAACAAGTGGTAAAACATACCAGTACCTCGATGACTCTTACGTACATTCAATGAGATCATAGTGACGGAACAATCAATTTGTTAAAGTTTCGAACAATAACTATTTCTATTTTGAAGGGACTTTTAGTTAGTTCCAGGTTAAAAAATGATGACTAACTTAGAAAATCAAAGCATTCTAACACCTTTCTTTGACAATAAGAATGATGCTTAAAGGGAACAGTAACCTAACTTACTTTCTACCTATCGTTCACATAATTTATCTCCAACCACTATTCTTACAGCTATACACTAGACGGAGCTTACCATAGTGTGTGCTGTCGAGAAAATTGTCCTTTTTTTCGAGGAAATACCCACAAAAAGTGTGCAGTTAAAAAAATAATTTGTTAACATTACTATGCACAATTTATTTTACAAGTCAAATCAAAAATAATAAAACAAATGAATTTCTTTTGTACAAGAAAGCAATTTTCATTTATTTTCCTAAGACCGTAAAAATGGCTTATTTCTAGCAATATGCTTATCTAATTGGTCCCAAATTTGTTGAAAATTTGCCTTGTCTAGATGTCGCCGTTGATCCAGATCAATAACACGTACATTCCATTTGGCTACATTCGGATCCAATGGCATATTAGTGTACTTCAAATGAAAACCTTTGACTTTAGAAAACAAGAAAAAAACACAAGATAAGAATCAATCAACACTTGACTATAAAACTTGTGGTAGTAGCAGTAGTAGAAGTGGCGAAAGTGACACGTGATTGCATTAGGATTAGATTCCTGATTCAAGTCTTTGTACAGTGGGGGATGTCCAATTTGGTTCAGTAATAGTAAGTAACATGATAAGTTAATAACTAGTAACGCAAAAAGTATGACACGTTTCTGTAACAAATTACTACGATACGAAACTACCAATGCAAATTTAGACAGATCAACATTAAAATTCTTACTTTGAGAAAAAATTACTGCTGGGTCGGAGCTGATTGGCCAACCTTTAAATTGCCAAGCTTGACCTTGGACAAAAACAGCTACGACACGATTCCATTCATCTAAGAGTAATTTATTTGGTTGATCAACCACACGATAAGGGACTGTTCGACCATCGGATTTATGACGCTGAATAAGTATCTCGTTTTCTCGACGCATACCGGATGCCTGTTTCTCCTGGGATTTAATGAACCGTAAATCCTGGAAAAAAAGATTAGACATAAATTTATAATTGTTACTAGGAAATCAACATTTAATCACACTACCTCAATAATAAAAATACCAAATTACTAAATCAAACTCAAATCTCGCCGTAAAAGAATGGAGAAAAGATGAAAGAATAATTAAATATTAGCGAAAATATTTTGCAAGGGGGACTATTTAGCAAGTGTTCTAGTTCTTATGCAGACAGTATTCAGAAACACGACCCTTCTTTTTGAAATGAATAATAAAACAGAAATGTCTTTTACAATGGGATTGCCGTTATCATTATTCGATAGAAAAACGTTTGAACAGAAAATGCAGACATGACCTGAAATGAAAACCTTATATATTAGAACGAAAGAAAATGTTATATACTAGGAAAGAAGCAAGTACGGATAACTTGCAGGACCTATTATTGGACTATTATTCTATGTATATTCCTATTGTATAACTATTCAGTAACTAGATTATCTATATCTATATTCATCTTATTACAAGCTTCAATTTGACTTATTGATTATTATTATATGATTTACTGCTCCTATGTTATACTCAGTTTATTGATTATTGTCTCTCACGCTTACAGCCACATTTGGCTCGGTTATGTACAAATATTATTTTATATTTTATGGTGTGATGTGGCCTGTCTGTCTGATATATAAACAAAGTATGCTTAAGATAAACGATTCATATTGCCGAGGCTGCTATTGTAGTTCTGAACTCAAGTGGACGAGCTAGGCGGATTAAGGACCAATAAGGACGCGAGATTACTAATACTGATTAGACGTCCTTGATTGTCACTGTGTTAAGGTCGAAGAAGTCGTATTCTATTGGCGGATAATTCACGCGAGTTACGTCCTTGTTTGATTTGTAAGGTCATAACAAATTAGCGACGACCTTGATCAATACATAACAATTGGCGACGGTTAGGTCAAGACATCACAGAAAACACAAAACCACGTCACTAATAGGTATGTTTTTGTCATATCCCAATGAGTAGAGAAATTGTTTCTGACGTTTCGTGACTTAGTATAAGCCGCCTCTTCAGAGTAAATGAATAACCGAAATAAATTTGCACAGGTTTAAATAATACAAAGGAAACAATTCAGAATACTTTTAGTATAATCAAAATCACAATAGTTCTGAATCTGTCAATGTCAAGTTATTTATGGTCAATGTGAATTTTAATGACCTATCACTGTGTTAATTTATGCGTCGGAATGTGAGTATGCAAAACATATACATTTGCAATATGAAGTAGTGGAGTTGAAATTGTGTGTGTGTAGATTGTGTGTAAAATAAATAAGGTCAAATGTAGTTGTTTGAATAAACAGTCCAGGTTGGATGAATATTCAGACCTCCTATCTTATTGAGGACAGAAGGATTTAGCATTACGTGAAGCTCTTCGGCCACTCACCTCTCTTTATAGCTGGAAAAGCCTTTCTGAATTACTTTGAAGGGACCCCTTGTTAGTGGGAAATAAACCGGATTAAGGCATGTTATGTGCATGATCGTGATGGCGCGCACTGATTGACTAATTCTAAACCAATCAGCCCTGGCAAATTATTGGAGAAAAATCTAGAAGCTTCTTATGCATATACTATAAATATATGAACGCTTTTCTAACGATTGATTGCTGTTCAACTACCCTTGTTATTTTGAATACAATTTCGTTCCTGTTCAACGTGTTCTGATTTTGGGGTCTTGTCGAGTGTCATTGTATAAGAATACTAAGTAACAGGAGTAGCTGGGTCGTTTATCAGCAAATACAATTATAACACCCTTGTGGAGGAGAATAAACCGCCCACCAGTATTCTCCATCCAAATCTGTCCTGGGAAATCCTTTCCAGTTAACATTCATCCTTTTCATATCTGTTTCTATTTTCCGGCGTAATGTGTTCTCTGGCCTTCCTCTTTTCCGCTTCCCTTTCGGATTCCGAGTTAGGGCTTGCCTCGTGATGCAGTTTGGTGATTTCCTCAATGTATATCTGATCCACTTCCAACGTCTTTTCCTAATTTCTTCTTCAGTTGGAAGCTGGTTTGTCCTCTCCCATAAAACACTATTGCTGATAGTGTCTGGCCAGTGAATGTTGAGTATTTTGCATAGACAACTGTTTATAAATACTTGTACCATCTTGACGATGGATGTTGTATATATATATATATATATATATATATATATATACAATAAGTAAAACTGGCAACTAATATTTGTGGTGTTGTAGATACAACTGAAATACAATGCAGATAACAACTATAAATTAAATGTTTGTCAGCTTGATATCCGTCAGATTGACTCTTTCACGAGTTTGTATGTTTTAGTCATTGTGTTGGCTATAGGAAAAACGGGAAAATAAGTAACGTGACAGACACATTATATTAATTTTTAAGTGATGAACTATTCTTGTTTGAAAATTTTGGTGGATTATGTCTAGGTTTGCTTCATTAATTTGCAATTCAGATTGATTGAAATATCTACTAGAAACAGTAATAATTTGTCTGATTTGTAATGAAAACATTGAAAAAAGTGTACTAACCTCTAAAATATCTCTAGCATTATACATTGTAATCAAACTGGTTGGTGCTGCAGGAATAATGATAATCGGGATACGAGATGACCTCATTTTCGTTCTAGCAGAAAGGCGTGCATCAGCGGTAGAACGTAAGCCACGATCTATAAAAATTGCATGTGCATATATATTTACATGATCAATAAATACAGTTAGATAACATTGTACAGTCGAACTACTAACAGAAAAATCACCTGCTTAAAAGCTAAGTAGACTCAACAGCTACAGTTGGTTCCAATATAAAAAAAAGATTGTAAAAGTTAATACTTTTAACCACAAAACATCAGAAGAATACAACCATTTCTGCTTGAACTACCTAGTATACAGTGACTTATTCTCTTAAACTTTCAACGTATATATATTAAGAATATTTATTTACGTGAAAGTTTTAGGTCCTAGGAAAAAAGAAAGGACTAGCTTTGATTACAAAAGCATTTGAATCTCACTGAAATTTCATTGAGATCACGAACCGATTTACGTTAGACAACCACTTAAAACTTATAAGCAATGGACTGTCGTTTCGCCTGAGTATAGGACTCCTCAGTAATGTGCACCCTCGGCCCCGCAGTTAAGAAGAGTAGACAGAACCTTAGGTTCCTCGTGCGAACATCTAACCTCTAGATCATTGAAGTCAGCGAGGAAGATAAGGTAATTTTAGAATAACATTGTTTTTCATCATACTTGGAATTTGGATTAGTACAAAAGTTTCCGATCCCTCATTAGGCGATACTGAGGTGATATTAAGCTTAAAGTCAACACATCCAAATTGGTTGAAAAAAACGAAATAGTAGATATTATATGAAACTATTTCTCTATCCATATATACACTTACATGGATCAGGAGTTGTACTGGGTGTCAAGGGAATGCCAGAACTGATACCGCGAGGGTCTCTAAGTGGTTGTGGTTCATAAGGAATACTTGGAGTTTCATTTCCCATTGATCTAGAGGTAGTTCCTGGAGTACAGACAGGGTTCGCACTAGCAACAGAATTGTCTTGATTAGATTTAGGTGTACCAACAGAAACCATTGATGCCAAAGCCTTTCCATGATATGTACCCATAGTATCAATACGAAAACCAGCAGTCTCCTCACGACCACCAGCAAAACGCTCTTGATCATATCTTGAATAATGCATCTGTGAGTGATGTTGAGCAGTGGAGTTGGAGACCGACATATGTTGCCCGGTGCTTAGTGCCATAGCTGATCCAGTGTTCGTATAATTTGTGGTGCCATTAGGTTTAGAATAGTAAGTCCCAACAGCCAATGGTTGGGGAAAAAGAGTTGGTTGAGCGTTGTTAGAAATAAAACCAAACTTTCCAACAGCTTTTGCATCGGGAGCAGCATGGGAGTCTTCTTTTAACTATAATTATAAGAAATATAAAAGTGAGATGAAACACCTATAAAATAAAAAGTAATTTAAGTGAGTGAAGATAACTAAAGAGCCATTGGATATTGTGTCTCAAAATACTTAAGTTATGTAGGCAGTACCTTAACATGATCAAGTTTGACAACCTTTACCTTTGTTCTAACCTACTCCTGCACCAGTAAATATCGTCCATCGGGAACGGTAGTGGGAGGGTAGATGTAATACGTGTTTCAACCATCACAGTTGATGAAGATTCACTACCTCATCAACAGATTTACCATCTTCACTTAGTACTATACGCCTAACGTCAACACTGTTCACCCGGTAGTCCCAAAATACAGGAACAATGTTTTGAAAACACTCGTGATTAAATACTACCAACCAACTAATGTCCCCAAATGCTCTGGTACAGCCGAGAGTGGGGAGGGGCCGCCCTCTCTCGAAATGCTCTCACATGGTCACGTGTATATAGCCTCTGACAGGGAAGTCCTACTCACTGCCTTCTCGTGGCAGGGGTGTTGTTTACGAAAGTGAGAGGATGAAAAGCGAATGTCCGGCGCTATAGCCGGTTCGGTGGACACGGAAAGTCCACCTACGGGAGTTGGAAAACCCTAATTCCAAACCAATGGTGCACATGGGCTCCAGTATCCTGATGGATTTATTTTATTTAAACACATATATATTGGTACAAAAGGGCACCAGGTACATATGCGCCACACAAAATAATGAAAGTAGGAAGAGAAGGGATGAAAAGATAAGGCGGACTGAAATGTACAACCAGAAGACTCTTTCAGTTAAGAAAGTTAGAACCGCTCTTTATGTAGAAAGTAAAAGAAGGTTGCAGCAGGATCGCCACTGGCTTCTATTCTGAGCCATATCTGATAACGTCTCTAGCCACTGTGTTGCACCATCTCTCGGACCCCAGCCAGGGAGTCGTGAAGGTTCAACAGAAGCTAGCCCTTTGCAGCTTACTTTCATGCCACGACACCATGTCATACACTGACCTCCTCTATCCTGATGGAACAAATGGCGCATGAACCAATTGTTGGTCACCGGCTACCATGGGACTGCATCTCCTTACAATGCTCCACTGCCTTGTGGGTTAGACCTTTAGGTCAAAGACTCGGGGTGTGGCCCCCTAAGAAAACCACCTGCTTCGGTCTGGGCACCTGGGCAGTATCATAGCCCTCACACAAATGAAATGACATTTTTTGTGTGGCGCATATATATCTGGTGTCCCCTTATACCAATATTTATGTGTTCAAATAAATAAATAGATGAATAAACTTTACCATTGAGGATTTTGTTTCACAGCAATGTGAGATAGAGACTATTGCTGCTCCGTATACTTGTCCTTTAGTTTATAGAATACCACACCTACGTCAAGTGACAAACGTTGGCTTTCGCCAACTTACATTTTCTGAACTGCGAATGAACCAGCTTGACTAAGTACAACTAGTTGAATCCACAATATAATCAAGACTGTCTGATCATGTGAGTACTTGGTTCTGTATCCATATATATATATATATATATATATATATATATATATATATATATATATATATATATATATATATATATAACGGGTTTGTTCTAATTCTCTTTTTTAATAGCTGAATTAAAAATTATTGGTATGCTCGAGGCTTTTATCGCTTCATGTTATTTCTTGTTGGGGATGTCAAATCCCCAGAACTTACTTGCTGTTTCCGCGCCAAACGCGCTCTTTTTACCTTCACGTCATATCTCCCACTTGTAAACTGTCTTAAACGCTATTGGTCCATTGTTTCTTTGTGTGTGCTATTTACCAATGATGCTCAAGGACAAATTGTTGTTGTATAAATGCGCTTGACTTTTTCCATTATTCGATTGCTTGTACTCGGCTGCTTACGGAATATATATATATTCCCCTACTTGCCTTGGACTTCTTCATCTAGTTAGCGGGGCCTGGGACAACCGATTAGAATAGCTTATCGTGTAATTGGCTTTCGTTCGTTACCGCGGAATCGATTTAGTTTCAAGCATAACATTTCTACATGATATTAAACAACAACCTAAACCAATACCGAATGAAGTGAAAATACTCCAAAGGACGCGAATTTATCACAAATACGGATGCCAAACGTCATACTTTAGTTAAAAGATAACTCACAATTACATTCCGCAAAATCCCCAAAACAATGTTTTCATAGAATGTTTTGCCTTGACTTTGCAAAACTGAAACACGAGTCCGCCAACGACGCTCACGAGCTACAATTGCGCGTACTGGTGCTTCATCGGCCATAAGTGAAGCTCTGAGTAAAGTGCTACCGGAATATAACTGACCATGAGTACTATCGTCAATACGGATAATTGACTGAGATTCACCTCCGGGTACAATACTATGAAGGCCAACCCGAGAATCTCGAGCATCTAAGGATGATAGAGTTGATAAACCGATATCCCCTTCCTGACCAGGATAATTCGTTACAGGAACTTCCAGTGCCTGGTCTGTATCACCTGTCTTGATTCTTTGTTGTTGAATTGCACGAAATTTAGCCCGCCAAGACTGGAATAAGAAAATTATATGATATATACATACCATAGGAAGTACAGTAATTAAAACATCACAAACAAACATATTTTACCTGAATCTTGTCTAATGGGACGGCTTCGGGTAGTGTGCTCGATTTAACTTGGTCAGGTTGAATAAAACTGGAGGAACGGTTGCCAAAAGAGTTCTCCAGTTTAGCAGCTAAGTCACGTTTGTCGCGCGCTATCGCCTCCTCATCAAGTACTGCAGATTTCAGTCGAGCTTGTGACTCTCTACCTAATAGACTTTCATCCAGACCTTCAACGCTGTTTGCAAGTCGCATCCTTTTGGAATCAGCGTCGATACTGAAACCATCTGCTGAACCTAGTAAATCACTTGCATCTAGAGTTTTAAAAGAGAGCAATATTTCAGTCCAAGTAATAAGCAGTTACACAAACAAACCATAAGCACTCCAATTACATGAATAAGGCTTAAACACTAGGCTAAACAATAACAGGAATGGTCGAAACTGAACAATTATTGAAACTGTAATTCATGGTTGAAAAAATTAACATTCATCCAAACATCTCCCACATCTTGAAAATTTTGTTCTACATTCTTAATTCCGCTTCGGCTCGTTTTCTTATCTTTTTTTACCTTTTATTTATGTTGATAGCTATTCATTTTAGATTTTGGTTTTAAACTTGATGTTATATGCCAGTGGGAAATCCAGGAAACTAAATCAATGCACACCTATTAAACCTAATGATGTTTTCTGATTGTCTCAGTTATTCGAAACAAAATATACCTTGGCATCTCAGTAAAACAGAACGATACGCGATCTATGAAGTTAGGATCTTATTATTAAACGATTATTGAAGACGTTTTCATGAAAAAAATCAGTGATTTGATTGCTTTTAGCTTATAAGTTAACGACTAATGTCCTTCTACTCTATATCCGGATATCCGTATTGATAAACCGACAATGCAGAAACTCTCCTTTAATTTCGAATCGATAACAACTTCAGGTCATCGACAAATACATTCATAAGAAATGACGCCATATCTTTTACTGACGACTAACAAACCAGCTCTGAACAAAGGTCATATTACTCATAATCACTTGATCAAGGTCGGTGAAATATGACTGATTTTTACTTGCTTGCACTTGAGTAGGCTAATCAATTAATTAATCAATCGATTAATTGTTCTTGCTTAAGTCAGATCAAAGTGTGGAAGTCTGTATGATCGACTGAAAAATGACACCATTAAGTGTGCATACAATAAGGAATAAGCTGAAGAAAAATCAGTAAAGCAGGAACTCTACTCTCAAACTAGTTTAGACTGACAGAATATACATCTCATTGTAGAAACGATGACAGTTATTAATCTGGAACTATATAAATCTTGACCCACTTCAACATTCACACGATGCGAATCAAAATTAGTTTACAAAAGAAACTAGCTAAGAGATAAGTCAATGATCGCGAGTAGTGAATAATTAAGGAAATAGAAAAGATATCGACGTTAGGCAATGTTCGGCAGACAAACTTATCTTATGCTTCTATGACCAATAAATTCGTCCTAAAAAGATCAATGTAACTGAATTGGTTGTAGCTTTTGTTGCAACCACATCGTCAACAAAACTAGGTTCAAAGATAGCTAACAATCCACCTGCTTCAGTTTGGGAACCTGGGCAGTATCGCAGCCCTTACACAAACCGAATGAGATTTGTGCGGCGCATATGTATCTGGTGCTTCCTTGTACCAATATTTATGTGTTGAAATAAAACTTTTTAAAAATATTCGGAAAGTGTAGATGAACACTGACTGAGCTTGCGTGAGTCTATGAAAATGGCGGGCCACGTCTCTCGTGGCATCCAGAAACGTCAATTTTATAAGTACTTGGTTTGAGCAGGTCACCTATAATTCATTAGTCTAATCCGACGACCAAAAGTCTGATGATAAGTGCAGATTTCTGCACAATAAAATAACTTAAGATTTACAAAACGACTGGGGGATTTTTTTAACTAAATGGCTTATTCACCAGTTAAGTGGATATGATCTACACTCTATGTGAGGACTAATTATACTACTCGGTGGCCCAAAATGAAATAGTTGAAGAAGAATTCGAACCTGAAACTAGTGGCTGAGAAGCCTGATGGTCAGAGCAGCTGCTTTATCTGGCAACTGTTGCAATTTATTTTAAATTATATGAGCCACATGCAGCGAGAAGTCTGGTGTGAGTGAAACAAACGGTGAAGTTGGTGGAAGGCCAATTAATAACAGTCAACGATCAAACTCGGTTTGAAACCAATGAAGTTTAACACAAGTTGAAGCTTAGTCAGACTCATAAGTACATACACCGTTCCCACACGTTAAAAAAATAAAAACAAGATTCAAGTATGGATCTTGATACATTTAATTTTCCCGGATATTCGGGGAAAATAAATCGGACACAACTCACCTCTACGGATATGCATGTGAGTATCAACATGCTTGGCTACAGCCCGACGTAAAGAGATGTCTACTGGCGCAGCTCTATCAATATTTGGTGCAGTAGTCGTTTCACCCTTCAGGTAAGCTAAAAGATCACGTCGATCTGGAAGTCTTACAACTGGAAGGCCAGCACTCTGGAAACAATTATTACCACCAAAACGGGAAAACTTCTTACTGCTGCTTGTCGCACATACTGAGTATGGGGCAAATCAATATGCTTAAGTAGATGCACAACACAATCCAACGTATAATAGTCTTTTGGAGTACCTTCCTTTCCAGACCTGCAACCAATGACTTGAACACAAAACACTCCCAGTTACCCCCATACTAGGAAGTTCGTTTTAGTAGTCTTAGGCCAAGCAAAGTCTCCGAATATGACTTCACTTTGTGTTTCAACAATAGGCTTTCCACTGAGATGATATTCTCGTAAAAGAGACAAGACATCTGCCATTACGCAGACCGTAGCGTATTATTTGAAACGCGATGGGAACTATCTTAGCGAATTCAATACTCAGTCTTCAGTAATAAGCATAGGAGATCCAGCAACCTATACTAATCCTTGCACTTTATAGCACTGTGGAAGTTCAATCTCGTTTTGAATATATCAACAGAAGTTGTTGATATTACGTGTTCGGGTAAAGAATCCCAGTGATTCACTACTCGGTGAAAGAAACGAAACTCCAGATATAGAACTTTCTTTTAAATGATCAGTCTTAGAAGGAAAGAAAATATAAGACATATTAATACCAATGTTATTGTGCAGTGTACGATAAGCCAATATTAGATCACCCTGTATTCTACGGTAAGATAACGGAACTAAGGTGTCTCAGTCTGTCTTCATGAGATAGGCCAGATAGACCTTTTATCATTTTAGTCCCTCTTCGTTGGACTCATTTCGGCATATGACCTCATATCTGTAACAAGGACTAGCTAATGCTTGAATCCCATATTCCCAATGCGGTCTCACGAAAGCCGGGTATAATAATCTAAACATTTATTCATCCAAATACTGGAAAGACCTACGAATAAACCATAATGTCCTATAGCCTCTTGCAGAAGCTTCACAATGATTGGTAGTTTTGAGATCGCGGCTTAGTATAAATCCTAAATCTTTATAGTTCCTTACAGTAAGTAACGAATCCACATATCGTGTAGTGATGTGAATCATCACAGTTATTTAATTGCATTGCCACACTATTTTTAGGATTCACTTCAAGTGACCACCCGTCCATCCATGCCACCAATGAGTTGAGATCATCCTGTAATACTATTCTATTTGACATGCTGTGTATGAATCTCTAAATCCTCATGTCATCGGCGAAGAGTAGAACGGATGATTTTGCTACAGTTGCTAATTCATTTAGATAAAGTAAAAAGAACCGGGGATTGTACCCCGAGGAACACACTCACAGTACGCGCAAAGAAAAGCTTGACCTACGGGTTAGTTTAGGGCAAAAGTAGATACAATTAAGACAATTAAGAGAAGAAATGCTTAGAGCTCCAAAATGTCTTAACGGGCTACACAGTGGTTAACCCTTTAGCATATGGAAAGCATAGGTATTTTGCATTCGTATTGATAATAGCAATTGTTCTTCATAAACAGCTTATGGATACATAAGTGTTGTGAAGAAATCATTTCGAGTGATAACACACAAGTTTCGATAATGTTAGAATAATATTTCCCATATTTAAAGAAAACATGTTCTGTGCAATTGATAAGAATGTTAAGTTGACTTTAAAAAGGAAAGGGAGAAAATAAGGGAATAAAAAATGAAGGAAACACGAAATAGGTAAATATTCTGATAAGTGTGTTTGTGAGCACCGAACAAGAACAAACGATTATTTGTCATCAAACGAATGATAGAAAAAAAAAGAAAAGATCTTTTAAAAAATAAATAAGAAAATAACTCCTTATTGCAGCGAGATTCGACGGTAGAATAATTGTCGTACATTAATAGTTGGGAGTAATTCTACGGAAGTCTCAATTAATTGCAAAAGATAGTCAAACATCAATATGCATGAGTCGCATATACGTCGCGAAGATGAAATGAATCTAAAAACTCTATTTATTTAAGTCTAACACAAGATATTGTCTTAATTACGAGCTTTGGGTGCTTAAGAATAATATTTATTTGGAAAGAAGAGAGTGAGAGATAAAGAAAATTGAACAACTAGTGATGGGGTTCAACCACAATAATAAAAAGACAGTCAGTACTGACCGTTGGGGTAGAACATCAATTTCTTTAACTTTTTCAGTTCACTCAGGTGAATACGTAGAATTATGGCCAACTTCGTTAATAGTACTGCTCTGATAATAGACCTTACCTTAAAATTGTAGATTTGTCATGATGTGACCACCTAATCTATAAGATCTTACGTGGAAGTCACACCATTGTCTACACTGACTCGCCTTATCGTAATCATCATCAATATATGATGGAGAACACATTTAGGAGATAGATTAATATATTCGATATGAACAAGATAAATGCTACACAAGACTGACCACACCTGCAAGGCTAAGTCATACCATCCGACAAATTGAATTTCGGATGAATACTCCCGCGTCCATCATTATTAACCTCCTCTTGGTGTTGCATGTTGAAGGCTTACTTTCACAGATACCCCATGTTCGGTTTTGAGGATGGTGGTTAGGACCAATACCACTACAAATATGATCGATGTTTTCACGTCAACTTATTGCATCTTAGGCCTGAAAAGGTCATGTTTATGTTCAAATGAAACAATAATTACGTCTGTTTAGTTAAGTATACTTGGTTGTTTTGTAATTCAGTTTGGTCAATACAATAATAGTACGTGAAGGGAGTGTTGAAGCAAGTAAGTTTAGCAAGAGTTGCTCAATTTATTTATTTCTGCTAATGTGTTTAAGCTTCGAAATCAGGAAAAGACCGGTATTGGATTCTCAAATCATTGAAAAGGAGTGTTCTACGTCCTAATTAAGTGAAACTGTCTGTGATAGAACATTGAAAATCTGTGTAACTACTAACAGTGTTATTTTGTCATACATTGAATTTCCTTGAGTAATTTGCCGTGAAACATGACGCAAATGTATAAGAACGCATAAACGAAAGCAAACGAATTAAAGCTTTACAATACAGAATTAAGGACAGGTTGTAATAGTTGAACTAATCTTTAACTAATGTTCATGATATTAGTAAATCACAGTTATGTAACTTGTCTTTTGCCTAAAAACATGTAATTTGTTTGTTTACTTATACTATATTTTTGACTGAAGCTACTATTTGTTTATTTATAATGGAACAGAAGTGAGCCTTCACAGATCTTCTTGCAAACTGTTTCATCTTCAGAATTATGTGACTGTGGAACTGTTTACGGAAGACCGTACTAACGGCACCTCCAAATATTCTAAAAAGCAGGCTACACTCTCATTTTAGTCTCATAATCGCTTCCACTACACACAAGCTTTCGTTCAACCCTTGATTTTACCCATAAAAAATAACAAAGACCACAGCTCAACATCGATTTTCTGAAATACAGAATAGGGATATTAACCAAGCAGGACTCAAATGTTAGTTTGGAAAGCATAATGGAACTTACTGTGTTAACGATAGTTCTAGTGTTGCGACGAGTCTTATGGTGTTCCAGGAAGTGCTAAACACTGGATCTACAAAAGCTTTATCCGAAGACATAATCCGAATAATAATAATAATAATAATAATAATAATTTATTCTCAAATAACAGTTTGTTACATGAGGCATGCCGGTTTACAGGCAAGATCAAATTGTTAAAGAAGTTACAATTTTCACTGTTGAAAATTACTCAGCTGGGTTGATATTTCATAAGATGTGAATGTAAATGGATTTCGTAAGGAATATGTCAATATCACACTTGGCGCACTTTGTGGAGGTAGCGTTGCAACATACAACTGATGGTCGAGAATAGATGCGTGCGAAGTTGGGGGCTTTTAGAAGTTTCGAACTTATATCCCTCCAGAATATTGGAAGCTCCAATAACGATGTAGGACGAAGTCACCCGTGCCATATCTGTTTTTGGTGGACTATCTGCAGGAGGCTGAAAAAGGTGTAAGAAAAAGGAAGGACGAAAAGCAGAGCACACAATATTCATGGAGGAATAGTTAATGTATAACCATTTAGTCTATTTGTCTGTTACTGAAGTACTTATTAGGTAAGAGCATACTAATGTGTTAAAGAAAAATAAGTGTGGGCAAGGTATGAGTGGATAAGGAACTGTATAAATGAAGGTAGTGCAGAAGGAAGTATGGATTGTGTAATTATAAAATAAAGTGCTTAAAACAGTATTCCGATACAAATGACTGTCTCCCTTTACTTTAGAAGCTGTTTGAACTCTTTTTTTGTTTTTAGATTTTATAGGGTAAAGAGGAAAGACAAAAACTCTAGTCTGTTACACATTACAATGACATTAAACTGCATGTTTGTCTAGCTATAAACAGACTTCCGGAATAAATATAACGTAGAAAGTAGATAAGTCATGAAAAATTTGACAGTTTGATCACAATCACTCAGTATAACAGCTCGCTAACGATCATTGCTTGGTCTTCTGAACCACACACCATTTGTTAGATAATTTTTATTGCAAGGATGTTTGTAGATCGTCTTGGACGAAGCCATTATGTACTGGTTGAGACGAAATCGCGGACGAAACGCGGCCTGGCAATCGATAAGTAGCGATTCATAAAGAGGTTAGCATGACAACCGTTATTTACCGTTTTACTCTCTGATCATAGAACTCCACCTTCCTTTTATGGCCAAAACAACGGGGACACACAACATCCTGACAGCGGATTTCCGGTTCTTAATCGCTCAACCTCATTTCACACCGTGTAATGCGCCCAAGTGATCTAATACTGTTATATATTCTGTAGCAAACCTTCCCCAACAGATCGATAGGATCTATGACTCAGTCCCAAGTTGTCGGGTGAACGGTCTCATAATCCTTTTGAATATACCACAGGTATCCATAACTGAGTAGTCAGTATTGGTTTGACTCGTTTACAGAAGAGGGTTATCTATAGTACTGAAGGGGACAAGAAAATAAAGACCGATTTCTTTCGTAGTTATCGACTACATCACAAATAACGCTCAGGAACAAATATAAGACAGTTAGAAATTCCAAGGTGGCACCAAAATTGATTTCAGCCAAAAAACACTTATGCTGGTATCTGATATATATATAAGAAATTACTCCAAACAAAACCTACTAACAGTTTATCACATAAAGCACGCAAGCATACAGAAAGAATACAATAACTTGAGCAGTAGTAGCAGTGGCAAGGAACGAGAAAACAAAAGCGAGTCAAGGTATTGGTGCATAAATTTAGGGGACCGCATAAATTACGGAATTTCAACACCAACGGATTAAGTTTTGCAGCGACACAAAAAAGCCAGGGGAAAAAGACAGGACTAGACAAATCGACGGCCAATTTTCAGTAAATAGTTAGAAAACAGTAGCTGACAATGTCAGGGAAAGGTGTGTATGTGAATACGTGTATGTAGCGAACGGTAATCAGCGGGAAAAGGAGAAAGGAAACAGAAAGTCAAATTAGAAAAAACTCTTTAGTGTCGCTATTCATTGAATAGAATCATGAAAAATTACAAAATACTGCAGAAACAGTTTACGAATTGAGTCTACTTCAACCGTATTCACAGGTTTCCCTTATATGAAAACCTACTTCTGGCAGTTTTGTGTGCAACTGCAGTTGGATAATTAGTCTTCGGTCTTCCGTAATACGGATAGTAGGTTGGTAAACTTGTGTTCATCCTGACGGATTTCCTTCCAGTGAAGGTCCAGTTTCTCCTTGAAAATGTTTCCTGATGGGGCTGATACCACTAGTTCGGGTAAGGCGTTCCAGTCATTGACCATTCGATGAGAAAGACAGGGCCTCGCCTTTACTTTATTAGATTGTGGTTTGTGAACCTTCTTAACATAACTTCGGAGATTATAAGTGCTAAAGGGAGCATAAAGATAAGACATATTAACACCCAAATCATAATTAAAGATACGAAATGCCATTATAAGGTTACCTCGTGTCCTACGATAAGACAAAGGGAAAAGATTTAGACGTTTTAAACGCTCATCGTAAGGAAGTTTAGAAGGACCCTTCACCAATTTTGTCCCCATACACTGGAGAAGTTCAATTGAGTCAGCATCCCTTATCAGACATGGGCTACCTGCTTGAATACAGTACTTCAAGTGTGGTCTTTCATAAGTGGGGTATAAAATTTGAAACATCCCCTCGTCAAAGCATTTGAATGCTCGGTGAAGTGACCATAGCGCATGATAACCTTTGGAAGCAGCTGCGTTGCAGTGAGTAGTAGCTTTCAAGTCGTGACTTATTATTACTCTTAAGTCTTTATGTTTTTGAACGTGTTCAAGAGATGTACCATTAATGGTATAATGGTAATGATTACCGTGTCCGGTGTGCATGATCACGCCCTTCCTGTAATTAACTTCCAAGCCCCAATCATGAGCCTATATAACTAATTCGTCTAAGTCAGCTTGAAGATGAAAATGATCAGCCTTACTTCTTATTGTTCTCCAGACTTTGAAACCATTCGCAAACAATAATGTCGACGACTAAAGCAATGGAGGTAATTCATTAACATAAAGAAGTGAAAGTAGAGGGCCTAAGAGGGTGCTTTGGGGTACACGACTTTTGACCATCTTCCATTCTGATAGCGTTCCACTGACCCTTACTCTCTGTTTGCGGTCACGTAAGAAGTTTCCTATCCATTCCTGTATTAAAAATGTTATTCCAAAGCTCGAGAGCTTCTACATACGACCTCACTGTGAAACCCTGTCAAACGCCTCTCTAAAATCTGTGAACATCACACCAATAGACAGGCCGTTATATAGGGCTCCTGTCCAGTCCTCTCTCGCAATAAGTAAGTTAGTCAAACATGAACGCTTTTTACGAAATCCATGTTGCTCGGGAGTTAACAGATTGTACGAATCTATCTGACTCAATAACTTAACCCGAACTATCTTTTCAAGCAACTTAACGACTATGCTGGTTAGGCTGACAGACCGGCAGTTAGATACGATCCTTCTCTGACCATCCTTAAATATAGAACTGACTATAGAGTTTTTCCAGTCTCTAGGGAATCGGGCGAATGAAAAAGACATGTTGAAGAGCGTCACGAGCGGTCTTGAAATAATGTCCGCAAGCGGCGACAGAAAGCGTGGATGTATCCCGTCGGGGCCCGGTATCCTACAAGGTTTGGGACTAGTTATCAATGGAAAAACAGCTTCCTTAGTCACATGTACAGATCCTATGGCTGATATCTCGATGTAATTGGGACAAGTAGTTGTAACACTACATGTAGAGTAGACTTCACTAAAATAGTTTGAAAAAGTCTCGACTTTCGCTAAATCAGATTCAGCTAGTAAATCTGAATTTTCGCGTAACAGTAACGCGGGAATACCATCACTACGTTTTGTTTGCCGTTTAACGTACGAAAACAGTCACTTCGGACAGGTACGGCTATCATATGTCATTTATCGTTCGTGAATGGTACGGGATTTAGCTATGGTCTTTTTACATATATTCCGGGATTTTTATATTCACACTTAAATGATGCCTGTCCTGTTGACAAAAATTGATTCCTACTCTTCAACAACTTCCGGGTTTCCTTATTAGTCCATGGAGGGGAATGTGATAGATTACGTGTTGACCATGGGATAAACGGTTGTGTTACGGACTCGAATGTAGCCTTAAACTTATTCCATTCGTCTTCGATTGATCCATCCGCATTGATCAACCAGTCAGTCGGGATATCACAGTCTCTGATTGCCGGAATATTAGCTCTCTAGGTGTTAGGACGGGGTGCAACAGGTGCAAATTCTATGCCATGTGTCCGGAACTTAATGGAAAGTACAACGTCGTCACTATTCACTTGTGGAGGGAAGGTGTTGAATAACGACGACATCTTCACAGTGGTGTGTGAGGACAAGCTCTAGCAATAGCGGACCATGTTTTTAGTCAATATGTGTCGGTTTTACGATTCCTTGTACGAATGCACACTGAATAATTGTCGATAAAAGGTCGCTTTCGAAACCCCCACCTGAAGTTGTGAGCTCTATCCAGTTGATATGTGGTGAGTTGAAGTTTCCGATGATGAGATAACATTTTGCTTTACTTCATGAATAGATGTGTCTTATGACAAAGTCGTCAGCAAGACAACACGGACTACGATATATCCCTCTTATAGTGACCAGCCCGTTTCTGGACCTAATTGTGCAACATGCTACCTCACATGTACCACTAACATGCGCCTCCGATAAGATCGATTGTATGCGAAAGTTGTCTCTAATATATAACATTATGCCTTCTCCCTTTCGACTTATAACTCTATCACTTCTGATACAGATGTAGCCTGAAATGATGAGAGAACAGTCTATATCTACATTGAGTGAAGTTTATGTGACAACAGTTATATCGAGATTGTAGCTGTAAATAATTCCCCAAAATCAATAGCTCATTAAGTGTTCGACATTGGATGCTGACCACGTTGTTTAGGTGGACTTGTTTAACTGAAGGCTTTCGGTCATGCATCTGTACCAGATCACGTTTCAATTCGGCGTGGGACACAGCTCCTACGTTTCAATAGTTAGCTAAGAACGAACGCCTCTCGATATATTGGTAACGTATCAAATATATCTTTCCTACCTCTTCTCGTCTGACTTCTGATTTCTATCGGGCGTAAGAAGGTTTCGAATATAGAAGGTACTACTGACCAGTTGTGTCCTCAGGATTTAATTCATCACCACCAAACTTAGCTCGGAAAGTTTATTTCAATGACTACGGGCATTCGTGTAGCACACATTTAAGGTGTTTTGGTAATAATACGTTATACCCATACAGGTCTCGGAAGCATCGGCTTTCAAGACCTGATTACCCGAAAATTTTTAATCCTAAGGTTCTTTTAGCCATTTAGCTTTCGAGTTCTTAACTCTGTGAGGGAATTCTTGCACTTGATCCGATCCTCAAACGGCCGATCTGGTCGAATACGAACACTTTAATCACAAGCTTTGTATGCGTTCGTCAATATTACATCTCCTTCCTCGAAATTCCCGAGTACTAACTTCAAGATCCTTCTTTGTTGGGTCTCGCCTCCAACCCATTTACCGAGTCTTATTCCTTTCGTGATATGTATCCCTGAAACCTCTTCGGGCAGCACATTTCTGATGACAACGTCCACTAACTACAGATCGTGTGCGTGCCCTTTAGTAGGGTCATTGTCTTTCGACTCTTCTAGATTCCAAATAATTAAATCAGGAACGTGTTTAACTTCACTAAGAGTCATGTTCACGGCTTTCGATCGCAATGTCAGATCCTACCAGTTAACTGCTGGTATCTTACCGTTAGCTTTCCTTGTAACCGTGTCGTGTGAGTCGAGCGAATGACTCACAACAATGTTTGATGGGGCCAAAGTTTTCCCATATATGATAGGGCTAAATATTGTTTCACTTCCTGACTTTAACGGAGTAACCTGACACGCAAAATGTGAGTCCAACAAAGACTTTACAACTAAACGTATGCTTTCTTTGTCTATCTTTCCTTCACTCCTACGTTTCCGCGTCATCTATTTCCCATCAGTCGCAGCATCCAGATTAGAACTACTCAGGACGATATTAGTTCTACCCGGATGATCAGTCGCTGCTGTAGCAACTTGGCCACCAATATCAAAGGGTGTATCGCTCACTAATTGTTTCGGGGTAGAAATCTCTATTTTGTGTTACACAGTTGGGTGTATGGCACGTGCCGTGAGAGCACTTACGACACTGACACATTCTTCGTTATCAATATCCATGTTACCTATACAGCACTCATCAACCTTTTTTAGCTGATGCCAAAATACTAATTGCTTCTTGAATGATTAATGTTTTGCTCGAACAGCAAAACATACAGAGCCAATGAAAATTATGCTCTGAGCACCTTTTGTAGGCAGTGGGACTTAAGCTGGTGCACATTTTATGGAACCACTTCTTTCACTCATTACATTGCATTCCTTCTTCTACAGAGAATAAGAAAAATGGCTGTTCAAACTTGCGAGCAGGGCCGACCATCTTAAAAATTAACTAAAATAGTGCACAAAATCGATGTGTAAGACAAATCTCAAACCTTGATCAAATAAATCAAGCCAAAGTCGACCAAGAATGCTTTGATTCAGTAATTACACAAAAGCAAGATCAAAACATATAAGTATAATATCGCTTTAACTGAAATAAACTCAATTAAAATGCAAACAGTAGTTTTGATGCGTAATTCACAATCAAAACAGTGAATTCAACTCGACGAGAAACAATATCACTGTCCTTTTTAAATAGCGCGCGCATCTGACCGGGCATTAGAGCTCACTAAGAAAGTACTAACCATTTATCTTTTATCATAGAGGCAAAAATCTTCCTGAGATAGTCCAAGCAACTTCCTTAGAGTATTTCAAGAGAAAACGTGACATATTATTGAGGAATAAGGACATTAAACTGCTATAATTTATTGACTTTTTTATGTTTTACCTTTAAATATACCTAGTTTTTTATCCGGCTGCACCGGTGATCCGCTGTTACTAGATGCAGAGGCCCTTCAAGTGAAAGGTTCCTCTATTCTGCCCAGAACAATTTTACTTTGAATGGCGGCAAATAGAACTGTGACGGTAATGGTGTGGTCCATTTGAGGGGTTGTATTGACTGCCATTTTAGTAATATATCAGCTTACACGTTCGTCCCATCTCGCTCTCGCTAACAAATCAGCTGGTCTTTCATGATGAAAAAATTCAACAGGAAGGATTTCAAACAGTGTGAACTAAAGCCAGTCGAAAAAGAATTGTCGAAACCTTTGCCAGGAGTCCCCATTCATTTTAACTATGGCGTGTTTTTTGATGACGGTTACGACTACATGCAACATCTCAAATCTGCTGATACCAAAGAAGCTTATGTAAGTTCCAGAATTTAGTATTTTGACGTAGCTCTTGGAAATAAGATGGCTTCTGCTAATCTTAAAAGCAAAGGTTTTCACATTCTTAACCTATAAATACTCTGACTGTGAAAGTGAGGAAGAGTGGAATACTTTTTCATTGACCAACAAGTCAGGTTTATGACGGTCCTTGTATATCTAGTTAAAATTCATTCATCTATATGACCGATTAAATTCCTTGCTCTACAGCTGATGTCAGTTCGCAGTGGAAACTGTGAACAATTCCCAAACCTAAATTACGATGTTAACCATTTTTTCCTAGTCTCAATGATTTGCAATTCTATTATGGGCTTGTTAACTGGATGAACTCTACCAAGGTTACCTTATAATCGTTTAAAAATCCTTTTTATGGTCCCATCATAGTTTATGCTGATTTAGGTTTTATGTATTTTGATTACATAGGATCACGTAAATGACCATTCTTTAACCTTCAGTAGGCTGTTCAGACAATTTATATTGCAAGCTATTCTCATGTCTTACAGTTATATATACCTTATTTCCAGGTTATATCTGTAATACCTGAAGATTGCGCCAGCAATGCTTCCAGTCATTCTGACTCATCTAGAATACGTGAACCTGAAGTTGATTACGATGAGCACATTATTAGTGACCTTAATATGGATTCAGAAGCCGAGTCTTTCGACACGGAAAGTGAATTAGAGGATAACTTTGTAGAACTTGCAGGTGGCCACAGTGTAAAATCCTCCGAAATCGATAGTGATAACGCCAAAGAGCCTGGGGACACCAATTCATTGAATGCAAAGGCAACGGAAACAGATATTTCAAGGGTTTCTAAAGATAAAGTTGCACTCATGGAACGTTTTCTTTACGGTGCCAACGAAAATTCAGAAGACATCACAACTTCGAGCTCCGGTCAGTTTACCAAGGATTACGGAATCGATGACTACTCAGATGACTCAACCTCCTTGAATAAAGAGTTTGAAAAGGTAATTTACAAACTCGAATACTCATACTATGACTTTAGTTAATGTTACGATTCAAATCTCGGTCAAGTTGTAGTCAGTCTTTAGTCTCTGGAACATCGGTGATGAGCGAAGGCTTGAAATATGCTCTTGGTCGTGACATAGCGATCGCTAAAAAGTAAGTTGTTTATTTGGAAAATATAGCTGTTAATGTATGTAAATCCAAAAAGTAAGCGGTCGCGATGATGAAACAAAACTGTAAACTGCCATTCACCTCTATTATTGCTGCAGCTGGTTAGATTTGTATGTGAAAGCGACATTATCGCCTTACTGTCCATGAAGGGGAACTCTGTGGCTTAATGATTTAAACAATCATCTATTGATAGTTATGGTTTAAAAGTGCGTCCCATTTACTTTGGTTTCAGCCGTCAGGTTATATCTGTAGTTCCCTCATAAATGCAACTTGACACCTAATATATAAGTTTGGGTCCAGTTACTCAGTAACACAATTGTTTTCGACAGGAAGATGTAGAGTATTTAATTGTACAATGCTTACTTATTCATACGTAGGGTAGAAATTAGGTGTAAGATTGCTTCATCGACGAAAGAAACAGACACTCCACCCTAATTACTTAATTTCTAAACATCGGAAAAATCTGAACAAATTGTCTATAGAGTTAACAGTTATATCTTAGTTGGTTAGCTGGTATGCACACATACACTTATATGCAGATATATTATCAGAGTAACTTTGTCACCTCAAATCCTCATTTTATTCATTTAAGGGACGTAAAACAAGACCGTACGGATTTTGATGATGATCTAAAAGCCATAACAATTAAAAAAAGCTTCGAATTAAATGGAGTGGATCAACAAGAAGACAGTGGAAGCGATTCCACATATGACGGAGAAAACCTTGAACGAATGACCATGTCATGTTCTAATAGTAAGCATTTTTCTTATTTTTATTAGTTTAGACGCGTTTTTGTTATGCAAACAGTACCAAAGAAGCGTTTTACTTTAAGAAAATACACTAGTTATGGATATGAGTTGGTGGATTAACATTTATTAGCGCTGATATAACATTTTGAAAAACTGCTAGGTGTGGGACAAATTTCACTGATTGCACTGGATGATGATCGTGAGTTGACCGAAGTTGGAAATGTAGGTTACTGAATGCTAACTCATTGGCAGAAAAGTTAAGAGCTCGCCGAGAGGCTAGAAGGTCCTGAGTTGGATATTTTGTGGTGTCGTGGACGCCCATTGATGAGGACACCTATAATAAAACTAAGTAAATGTCCAGTGCTTTCTGACTACCTAACTAAAATGATACAAAGTACAAATTCAACAATCTTCACAAATTCCCTATGCAAAAAATATAAAAAGATTAAGTAAGACATAGTGGGCATTATGTCTAATTTATGGTTTTACACCGTGAATGTGCATATGAATTCATGGTTTGATAAATCAACCTTTAGTCTTCAGGATTTTGATTCATTTAGCTTGACATATTCACCTAAGCAAATAAATTTTGACAAAGTAAGCCACCGAAATACTTAAAAAATAAAACTATAAAACCGTGAAAATAAAGGAGAGAAGGGTAGTAAATCAATGTGGTATCATCATCACACATAAATACGGTGTCATTAGTGTAATCAAGTTTTACTACAGGCAACAGATCGAGACTCCCACCACACACTTTCATCAGAGCGGTCTTCAGAATTTGGCCAGTAGCAAAGTTGGAGAATAATGATGAGACTAAGAAACTACCTAACCCCGGCTGCTGGAATTGAAAAAATAGAGAGATGTAGTGTATCCTCTCACTCTGCCTGAGTTGTCTGTATACAAAACTTTCAATATGTTAATTCACTTCTTAAGACACAATCTCCAACAGGTGGTCGATATTCTCCTGAAAATGACATTTTCAAACAACTTATCAGGACTTGATCTCCTACCAGGAGGTTTGTTTATCGACTTCAAGTGCGCAGAGGACAGTCTTATGTGGTGTAGATGTTAACAAAAGTTTCTTGATTGCCTTGAACAACGATGCTGGCATTTTAAGAATGTTTCCCTCCAAATGTAAAATGTTTCAGGATTGGTCTGCGTTAAAATCTGTCCTACACACACTATCTGCAATCAAATACCTCTCGATAAGCACCTCAGTAACTGAAGATATTAGGTGGTATGGCTTGGAATCGGTCACAGTGACGGAGATCCATCCCCTCTTTATCTTCCTTTAGATTTCCCGTATTCCTCCATACCTGTTTATTCGGTTTTCACTAACCATACTATTTAATGTTTAGTCCGTTTCATTATCACTGGTCTCATTATTTCAACTCCTTTGCTGTTCATCTTGTTTGCTAATGTGCTATGAAAACTTTGGCTAATGGGCATTTGTGCCAGGTTCTATGTTCATAGTGACTTCTAACTGAATTTGTGATCAGTTAAAGTCATTCAAGGTGTGGATATAAAGAAATAATCATCATCCTTGTTTCATATAGTTTTAGCTATAACTACTTTTTAGCTCTATTTTTGATTATGTACTTTTTAATAGGTAATTCAAACTTGTATGTTATGAAGCAAAACCACCTAACAATGCCCAGCTTCAGTAAGACGAAAAAGAAGTCATCCACAAAGGGAGGTTCTCAAAACAACGATGGCATTATTGAATTTTCAAAACCACTAGACCCTGGGTTACTAGTGAGAGAAAAGGGAGAGTCTATGGAACAAAAGCGCTTACGTAAAGCCGCTATCAAGGAACACCGCCAACTGCGACGAAAGATACGTAAGATCAACCAGTTAAACTTCCGTCAGGAGAAAGAAAGACAAATGAAAAACAACATGCAAACAATGATAGTCCACTAGCTAAAGTTACTGTGATATTTGATTGTACAGAATAAATCACTAAAATCACCATAAATTTTTATTTAAATATAGTTGCATAAACCGCAGTCGTGGCTACTCTATGTATTTTAAAATCTGGAAGCGCAAATCCTCAGCTGCTGTGTCTGTTTAACTCTACATTTCTGGGATACTCAATGACAAATAAACCTAATTTTAATTCAATTACAGTAGAGGCTGCTCGTAGATTTATTTATTTTAACACATAAATATTGGTACAAAAAGGCACCATATACATATGCGCCACACAAATCTCATTTGACTTGTGTGAAGGCTGTGATACTACCCAGGTGCCCAAACCGAAACAGGTGGTTTTCTTAGAGGGCCACACCCGGAGCCTTCGACCTAAAGATCTGATCCACAAGACAGTGAACCATCGTAAGGAGATGCAGTCCCATGGTAGCCGATGACCAGCGATCGATTCATACGCCATTTGTTTCCTCAGGATACTGGAGCTCATGTGCACCATTGGTTTGAAATCAGGGTTTTCCAACTCCCCTAGGCGGACTAGCCATGTCCGCCAACCCGGTTAAAGCGCCGGACATTCGCTTTTCGTCCTCTCAATTTCGTAAACAACAGTAATGCCACGAAAAGGTAATGAGTAGAATTTCCCTGGCAGTGGCTATATACGCGTGGCCATGTGAGAGCATTTCGAGAGGGATAGCGGACTCTCCTCACCCTCGGCCGTACCAGGGCATTTGGGGGCTTCATATGTCTATCTGCTCCAAATACGCATGTAGAGATGCATATACCCCACTAGTTTTTCTGCTTCCGTTTTCCTAGCTGTGCTTAGATACAATCTCAAGAAGTCAGGATGTCAGTAGAGAGGCTTTCATCATTGCTGTGCTAACCTTAACTGACGTACTTGCGCCAGGACCTACCTCGCACAAACCTGGGAGGCATCCACACATTTACATAGTAAAATCATATTCAGCGAATGGAAGACAGTCCCGTTGTTACGAAACGACGATTGTTGGGGTGTTATGCACGTGACGATATTGGGTTATCTGATGAGGTTGGTGGCGTAATCAGTATATTCACTATCTAAATGGGGAATGACCTGTTCTTTACAAGTGAATCTTTTATACGTTTCATACAAACTGAAACACGACGAGAGTTAAGGGCACAACACTCAAGTAATTAATTAAACATTTATTGGCGGTAAGTACTACAACCGACTCATTATTTCCGTGCCCAGCCAAACTAGTATAAATGAGGGCTGCAGTTAGACGTTAAGCGACTACGGAACTGATTATTTTAGATACACTGAGTACAGCGGCCAGTATTTTTGGTTCGTATATTCTTCTGTTTACAAAGATCATTGGAACACTAGTTCCGAATCCCTAAGTCCCCGATGTATCTGCCAACCGTTGGGTCCGAAAGTTAACATAAAATTATCTACTTGAACCGCTAAAATGTGGCGACTTGTAAATTTCGACAAAAATAGAAAGCTAGCACCTACTTCGTCTACGTTCCCAACTGTCCATGCTAAAACAAAACCGCAAACTATAGGTTTTGTGTCCATTGCGACACCATCCTGCCACTAACTAAATACTAATGACCTACATTTTCCAGCTTCGGTTGGTCGGTGGTCCAGTGCGAATACCATTCAATGTCATAAAGGAGTAATCCGCATGTTTAACTTGATTAATTCTAAAAATCACAAAAAATTTCATTTTCAATGTGATTACGAATTTCTGATCATACCGATTCCTTAGTGGGGTGTATGCTACTTATGTCGACGGACATAAGTGGTGTGTAACACTAATCGGAAGTGAAAAACCGGGCAACAGAAGACTAAGAAAATAAAGTTGAAGAGATAGGCAGGAATTATGGACTGGAAGAATCATACAGAATGTGGAGGACGAATGATGGAAATTTGAAAATAGAGTATTCTATGTATGGCTCTTATACTTTAACCAAGATACTCTGTAATTTCGTACTAAAATACAATTGGTTGCGCCCACTTAAGTGTTCGTTCATTAGGACTACTAATAATGACGACACTCTTGTTTGTGCCTTAAAAACAAAACAGATGATAGCAACAAAATCGTCCCATTCATTTAGTAATTGACATAACTTGCTAAGATTAGTCATTAAAAACGATCGAAAACAAGCATGGAAGGAAGGATACATTCAAACCATTTTCTTTATATACACAACTGATGAAAATTGGTATTAAAATAATAAAAATGTTAGTACCAATGAGAATCTTGGAGTACCTGAATAGTGAAAAATATTAAGGTTTACTGAGTGAAAATATTTACGGAATTAGATAATTGAGTAAACTTTCATGTTGGACAGCCTATCATTCGTATAGTCGGATCAGTTTCTTTAGAATACGAGTAAGATAAAGATTCATGCTGACTATGATACCTGCATGCCAAGTCTTTTGCACATACTTCAATATTTTGACTATTGACATTTGTTAGTTCGTCTGACTGAGTCATATTTGACAATATATTATCTAGACACTGATCTGCAACGACTGCAGAAAGATGTGTTTGATTTTGATCAGCGTATTTTGTCTCCAAAGAACATTGATAAAATTGGTCTATACCCAAATAAGCGAGCACCAAAACTAATAGAATCTGAAAGTAAAACGACTACGGTTTAAAAGTGCAATTAAACAGATGACGGTTAGACAAACAGAACTTTTTGATAACTTTACCAACACAAGAATGGGTGAGTTAAACTAAAAGCTGCGAAATGAATGTATTTTACACCTTAAATTCATCGGATATTAATAATAGTCTTTTATTACTTCTCAAACAATTGAGACTGATCATAACAGACACAAGCATTCAACTAGTTAGTCTCTTTATCGGTTGAAGACGAATTTTTAATGCTGACCATTATAGCCATATACGACATGTAACATCTTCCCTGTTGGTTAACTTTTGGTCGAAGTCCCGGTAAATAAAAACTAGCGTAACACTTACTCTGAGTAATTCAAGATAGTTGATCAATTTAATTGCACACACGTGACTTGATGTGAATTAAAAAGTATGCAGATTCAGAGCTATCTGGCTACTAAAAATATTCGAATTTACACTACCTCATATTTCACTTGATAAATAACAGGACACCTTTTACAGTTCGTGCGAAAACAAAAACTCACTTTGCTTACTTTCTTAATTTCGGGTGAAGTACGGTGCCTAGAATATTTCAAAAAAAGTTGGGAAATATGTGACAACATAGAATATACATTGAACTCAGGTTTGTCGCTAAATGAATCACACTTGGTAATCTGACGGAAGACCCCGATCTCAAGACCGAATTGGAGTATTTGTGCTCTAGTTACAAAAAACTCCCAATTAAGAGCGGAAATGAATTTGACTTCAAGTTCATTCAACTCTTTGAGTTCCATATCAAATTCATTTGCCCATTCTGCATTGTACATTCCATGGTCCGTATCATCGTCATGTAAATATTTAGATGCAACTACCTTGAAGAAGTTAAAAGAATTATATCACATTTCACTAACCATTGATACAGCAAAAAGATCAACTGCTGTAACTTCAGTCAATAAAGAGGAATAAGGATCGGCCACTACAAGTTTCTCAATGAATAATAGAGCAGTGAGAACAGAAACTGGAGGCACACTCCTTGAACTACACAAAAGATGTGTCAGTTAGAAAGGAATCGGAATACCAGAGATATTCGAGCACCATAAATGTGTCTAATTTACCAAGACGTCTTTTGCTTGCTGAATTGACCATCTTGACAATTCGATCTGAAACTACAAAAAGCAAAAACAGAGGTTCCTTTTTGCACTTTAAATGCAATATATAAGACGATGAACTAAATAACGATAAGATCTGCCGACATCGTAAATGGAAAGAAAAACTTAATGTGAATAAGGAATCATTACCAAGTCTTGATTTGATAATTTTGAATAAATTAAGCATTGGGTAGATTGTTTTAAATAAGCTATATATTTGTAATATCCCTATGAGTAGAAAAACTAGATTTTCTGACGTTTCGTGACTCAGTGTAAGCCACTTCTTCAGAGAATAAATAACCAAATTAACATTAATCCAAGTTTAAATAGTACAACAGAACAATCAAAGAATATTAGGTGATCAATCAAAAACAGGTCTGAATAAATCACTGTCACGTCACTTCATTTCGGTCAAGGTGATTCATAAGCGACTTGGATGTAATTTGGTGTGTATGTATGCACTGTTAATAATGAAAACTGTGTGACCTTTATAATTACAAAGCATAGAGTTTGATTTGTAATGTAATGGTGTGAAATTGTAAATAATATCAGACTGAGTGACTAGGATAGATGGTCCAAGTAGGCTGTATGGTAAGGCCTTCCTTTCTATTGAGAGCTGTGGGATTAAGCATTATATGGAAAGCTTCAGCTACTCTTCTTTCTTTGTAGTTGGAAAAACCTTTCTGTAGTATTTTGATATTTTCGAAATCAATTTGATGACTGTTGAAAATGGCGTGAACTGCTATTGCCGATTTAATCTGAAGTCTACTTAATTCTACAGGATTATTAGGAGGTTTCTTTGTGTACCTGATATGTTCTTTGGCGCGAGTTAAGATTTCGCGAGATGACTCTCCAATATAGAAGGCATCACAATCGACACAACCTAATTTGTAGACGCAGTTCTGTGTAGACATGAATGGTATTTTTTCTTTTAATCGAACTAAAGTATTTCGAAGTGTGTTAGTTGTTTTGTAATATACTTTAATTCTGTGTTGTCTTAAGATTCTTTGGAGTTCTTCAGTTGTGCCATGACGGTATGGTAAAACTGCAGTACCAATCCATGGCATTTCATTCGAATTATTATTATTATTGCGTACTGAATTATCTCGTTTTAATATACTTCTAATCATCTTCATAGGAAAATTATTAAATTGTAAGATGCCAATTACATTCTTTTGTTCTTTTTGTTTGTCCTCTTCTGAAGAGATGATCTTGTTGGCTCTTCTAAAAAGATTTAAGGCTAACGAGATTTTAGCACTGAAAGGATGTGCTGAATGGAAGTCGATGTAATGATTGGAGTGTGTGGGCTTTTGGTAGATGGATAAATTTAGAACTCCATCTATATTTCTTTTCATTAGGCAATCTAAGAAAGGTAGCTCTCCATGTTCATTCTCATTCGTGAATTTGATGTGAGATGAAAGTGTATTTATCTGTTTTGAAAACGATCTTAGATGCGTCTTTTTTATTACTACAAATGTGTCATCTAC